GACTCTCGAAGGGGGGACTGCACTACGCCTGGGGCGTCGCTTGAGGAGCTTGTGGCACCGCCCAGCCCAGGACGGGCACCCAATGTCTCCTTGGAAGATTCACTCTGCCGCCCACTTGTGTTTGGGGTCCTTCTCGATACCTCTTTGCTCATGCCAAATCTTGCACTGAGAGTCCCGAAGGGTCACTCGTCAGTTGTCGAGGCCACACCAAAACCAGCGCCAGGAGGGAGACCCAACCGTCCGAAGCCTAAAGGGGTGTTGCCCAAGCCCCTGGCGTCGCCCATGGTCCATGCTCTTCGCTTTTTTTGCTCAAATTCACCACCTACGCTACGATTGAGTCCACCCGAAGCTTGGGCGCCGATCGCCTGGACTAGGAGAGGCGTTTGCGTCGTTCTCCCCAGACCGTTACATGGAATGACCCCATGGGTGCCGCCCAAGCGAGCCCCTTGGGCACCGCCTATGGCAGCCCCTTGGGTGCCCAGACTAGCCTTTCCGTCTTTTCCATCTTTAGAGTTCCTCGTCTTCATGATGATTTAAAGAGAGAAATGGAAGAGGGGATAGAAGCAAGGGAGAATGAATGAACAGTAGCTCTTGGGTCTATTTGTAGAAGAGGAATGACTTCTCAAGGAAGCCTTGCTAAAGCTTTTTCAAGAAGCTTGGTATGAAGCTTCTTAAGGAAGCTTGGAGGAGGCAATTACAGAACAATTGAGGAGGAAGGAAGAAGAATGAGTAAGACATAAACAGTGACCTCTATTTATAAACGAGGATGTATAAAAAAAAAAAAATTTGATCGATTTCATTGAGTTGTGCTAAAAACTCAAATTTAGAGAGATAGAAGCATTTTTTGGGAAAATTAGCTGACCAAACCGCCTTTGGTTGTTTGTATGTCGAAGATCTCGAAAAAATACCCGAATTCAAAAAAATAATTCGCCTTAAACAGACTCTTGTGCGCAAAGTTATAGCTGTTCGAAGTTTTGTCGGATTTTCAATGCTCCAGCAGTCCTCCTCGCCCATGGGCGCCTACCTCTCGCCTTGGGCGTTTGTCTCCTCGCCCATGGGTGCCTATTTCTAGCCTTGGGCGCCAGTCTCCTCGCCCATGGGCACCTACCTCTCGCCATGGGCGCCTGTCTCGTCGCCTTGGGCGTCCACCTCGGCCACATGGGTGTCACCCAAAGCACCTCTATGGGAGTCTCTTATGATATCAAGGGCGTGGACTCCTCCTCGCTCCTCTCCTCCACAGCTGTTTGAACTCCTAGTTCCCATGAACTTGTTACCTTAGAAGAAGGTATAGCACATGCCCACAACCCCTTCCTCTCACCAAAAGTCTGAGGCTTAGAGCATGGGGGGCAAATGATGAGCACAAATTTAACTGGACTAGGCCCAATGAAAATAATCCAAGAAAGGTCGAAGGAAAGTCCAACTCTAAATTGGATCGACCCTTTGGAAAAGAAGACATCAATAAGTCAACAACCAAAGTCCCAAGGCCAACGCCCAAGAGACTTAGCAATTGGGCGTTGCCTAGGTTGGCCCTTTGGGCGTCTCCCTATTTGCTCCTCTTTACTTTGGAACTCCAGGTCCAAACCAAGACAGGTCCAGGTCCAGGTCCAGGTCAAGCTCAATCCAACTAACGTTCTCCTCCGGATGAATAAGAGCATGTGGGAAAATAATATGGAGATTGACATAGAAGATCTCCTACCATAACAATACTTGCCAAAGCTATGAAATTCTTTTCCCTCACGTCACCCTAGTTATATATAATGTAAACCCTCTCAACATTGAGGGCACGCCTCCAAGGCCTCCGAACCTTACACTCATTATTTTATCTCTGTCTCCCTAAAAGTACTGTATTTCTCCGGAGTACTATCATTCATCAACATCAATAAAGAACACAGACCGCCGTTGCCATTTCCAAGAGTGGACGTAGGTCACCCGGACCGAACCACTATAAATCTTTGTGTTTGTTGCTTATTTACTGTTTTTATCCATTGATTGTCGTTGATTGCTCATTAATTGCTCATTAATCACACTCTTACATATACTTGACTGTTGATCTTGCACGAAGACAGTTTTGTGCATCATCAGGACTCACACTTCATTCAAATACTGTTCAAAAAAATAGTATAAATGAAGTATGATAATTTTATTTCTTATTATACTCGAACCAAATTTTAATGATTATGACAAGATATTGGGAAGTGTAATAAGGAATTTTCCTAGAAATTGTGGGACCATAGCAAATGCATGACATATTGGCACGGCCAAATGGTTGTTGATTCGAAAGTCTCATTTGTAACCGTCCAAAATGGGTCATGAGTCATGACTCCATCAACCGTGTTGGCTGGCCATCCTCCCACGAAGGCCATGTGCATTTGTCAAATAGAAGACGACATTCACAGATTTAGGACTTTCTAAAAGGATGTGAACAAGGAAAGAAACAAAAGGGGCATGTAAACAAAAGAAAGAAAGAAACACAAGGATGTGACAAGGTTTGTATGCACTCCTTTTATTGATAGAAACTGTTCTTTTGTCTTCCACCATAAACCATTCCCTCTCCTCACCGTCAAACACGCAGCGATTTCTTTCCTCGAGATTACCCCAATTAATTAATGAGTTTTAATGTTAATATATTAATATAATTTATTAATATAATTCATCACAATTATTAGAATGATCGTGGGTCTTAAAAACACATGGATTCACTAGCAAACCACAATTCATTGTCCGACAATTAGATTTTAATAAAATCTGAAGTGCTAGGGAGATATATTCTAATCGATTCAATGTACACGTGTAAGTAAATGATTATATACGTTTTGAATTTACATAATAGTTACAAATATTATAAAATACGCGATTGTGATTGAGGCTATTCTCGAATCTAAAAGTATAAAAGGACAATCCACAATGAATCAACATTGATGACATTAGATGAGAAGGAGATTGAGATGGGACATAAGTCCCCTTAATGTCACGGTGTGGTATTTATGGCTATTACTTTCAGGGTTGTTTTGTAAAACTAGGCCTAGGGGAATAAATGAGTAAGACCAAAGCAATCTCTTTGTCATAGGCGTACAAGATGGACCGTAAATATATTTGGGAGTGATTATTGAACTTGGGTCATTATCTTTTTCGGAAAGTATATATAAAGAATAAACAAAAAGGCTATTGTTTGGATAATCATGAATTAATTAAGCAAGAGCCATTGTTTGGTTAAGGAATTTATAAACATCTGGCCTATTTTTGAGAGAAAGCAATATAGGAGTTGCTGTTCATTTTAGGTAATAACCAACAATTATTTTATTTTATTTATTTATCAATTGTCCAACGGTCAAGATATACGAACCAGTTTACGTACATTTCAACAAATTTCTTAGTCGGTCCGATCAAAAATAGGTCATTTATGCTGAAACTAAATTATTCACGAAAGATAAATTTCTTGTGATCTGATTTCAATAAATTTTTTAGATTTAAATTTAAGAAAAGTGCTACTAATTGTTCATCTTCTACCAAAAAGATAGTCCACCATGTAAAACTCCCATCACTATGGTATCTTTTTTTTTTGATTAATACAAAATATCAGGGGTGGCTCAAGATAAATTTGAGGCATAAAGCAAAATTATTAATTGAGGTCTTTTTTATTTATAATATTAATTTAAAAAAAATTATTTATATTAAGTATTTATGTAAGAGAGATAAAAGAAAGATGCACTAGTTTTAAAAAATATTTCAACTTTTATTTTTGTTTTTTATCGAAAAGATAGAGAGTTTTATTTTAACTTTTATTTTTATTTTTTAATTTTTTTTACCAAAGAGTGAGAGAGTGTGTGTGTAAGGATAAATATGAGTTGACTTTTTTTTTTTTTTTTTTAACTTCTGATTTTTAGGTTTCTAATGTTATTGATTGGATCATGTAATTGGACTTAATTTTTTGAGGTTTTTTTAGGGGCTTAATTTTTTTTTTTTGATTTATATTTTTTTGTAGGCTAGTAATGTACTTAAAATTATGGGACTTTTTAAAAATTTGGAACATTAAATCCAGCCTTTTTTTCTTATACTGTTGGGTCAGCCCGAAAATGATAAGAGATTGTTAAATAAGAGTTCGAATATTAGCAATTCGTAAAATTACACTACAAATACCTTGTTCCGACGTAGATAATTTGTTTTTGATTAAAAAGAATTGATCGAAATACGTATAAATTGGTGTAGATAACCCGAAAAAAGAAAAAAGAAAAAGAGATTGTTAAATTTGTGTGATGGTCCTATCTTTATGGCACCAATTTTGAAATAAACAAATAGCTCTCTAGTAATGATGAAATCAGAATTGGTCATAGGTGGCTGTTTATTAATGTTCCAAACTTGTCGTATGGGTGAATAATTAAAAGATTTCAAATAAGGTAGGCAGAGAGGCAATTTTGACTTGTGCTCTTGTATATGCATAGCCCTTTAATCACACCCATTATTATTCATTGGATTTCATGAATCACCAGATGAGCAGAAAATATAAATCAAAATTAAACAAAAAGATTAGCCAAATTGACAACAGATTTGACTTGGTAATTTTTTTACTTATAGGACTCAAAATCACTCTAATTGCGATAAGATAAAATGGTTTTTTGTTTTTTTGAATATTGGTTTAATATATATAACATTAAAAGGGGGGAAAAGAAATTAATTATAGAACTTTATGGAAAGTTAGAATTAGGAGACGAGAAATATGAATCCTTTTCTTCAGCCTTTTCAAATGACCAAACTGAAAAATCTCAGATTTTCTAATCTCTCTCTCTAAAAAGAAAAAACTGACCTCTTTTGTCTCTCTCTCTCTCTAAATCCATACAAAACAAAACTGCCTCAATCACACACAGCCTCAAACTTCACACCGCACCTACTTGGAAATAAATTTCTCAACGCCTCTGAAATCTCTGACCCGATAGTTTAGTCACATAATCTGCATGTGTACGTCGTCTGCTTACCACCCTCCATACTTCTCTCTCTCTTTAATGCATCACCATGAGAGAGAGAGAAAGAGAATCCTAGGGCCCACAACTCTCGCTCTACCCTAACCTTTTTCCCAGGTTTCCGTTACTTTAATTCAATCGGCTTCTCTGTATATAACTCCACATTACTCCAAACTTCAATGTATATATAAACACCCCCACCATCTTTGTTTTTGTAGAGCATATCACAAACCATACGTTTTGCCAACAAACAGATAGCAGAAAAAGTGCCAAAATCTTGTTTTGGACTAAACCCGCTTGTCTTTCTTCTTGATTTCTTGTTTGGTTTCATCGAAACAGCGAGAAAGATCTGAGAAAAAGGCCATTCTCTTGGTGTGGGTGTTTGGTGTCATAGCTTTGGTTTTTGAGAATATGGCTATTCAAGCGCAGTTCCATACAGAAAATCTTGGGTTTCCTTCGAGTAGTCCACAGGATTGGATGGACAATGGTTGTGGATTCAATGACTTGTATGTCAATCTTCATCAACAGCAGAAACAACACCACCACCAGATTCAAAATCAGCCATTACAATATCTCCAACAGAGAAATCACAGCTTGCTTCCAAAAAACTACAGCAACGACAATCAAGCCATGGGTTTTCCTCAAACATTAGCTGCTCAGTTTGAGAAACAGAGGCAAGAAATCGATTTCTTCATTAGTTTACAGGTGAGGATTTGTAGCTTTCTCTGTTGGGTATGTCTTGTTTCCTATAAACAATTTTTAATATTAAATGTTTCATCTTGTTGATAAATGGGTGTCCTTGATTTTCTGCTTATATTTCATATGGTTGATGATTCTGGTGATTCATTGGAACAGAATGAGAAATTGAGATTGGCTTTACAAGCACAGAGAAAGCAACAAATCCAATCACTATTGAAGAAATACGAATCAAAAATTCAGTTTTTGCTTGGAGAAAAAGATGAAGAAATGGCTAAAGCTGTGAACAGAACATTAGAGCTTGAGAACTTTTTGAACGGAATGGAGGTCGAGAACCAAACATGGCAGAGATTAGCTAGAGAAAACGAAGCAATGGTCATGTCTCTCAACACAACAATCGAGCAACTCAGACAGAGTGCTTGTCTCTCATCCAATGGAGTTGAAGATGCAGAGTCTTGCTGTGATATGATAGAGAACAGAGGAGACACAACAGAGGAAGAAAGCGAAAAAAGAGGAAATGAACATGAACAAGACAATGCAGAACAGGGAACGAGGAAGATGATGTGCAAAAACTGCAATTCTCGGAATTCGTGCATTATTTTCCTACCTTGCAGGCACCTCTGTACATGCAAAGATTGTGAAGCTTTTTTTCATTCATGCCCTGTCTGTGGAATGGTAAAGAAAGCTGGCATAGAGGCCTTGTTTTGATTTTCTAGGAAAGTTATAATTATTTTCTAGGGAAAAGGAAGAAAATAGTTGAATTTGGTCAGAAAAGGGTTAATGAACAGAACCCATTTTTGATTCCCTCCGGTGTTTTTTGGGGAGTCTTGTTCTTTTAGACTTGATATGTACTTGTAAAGAACTGCTAATCCTGAACAGAGAGGTACAGAACCAGAGCATCTTTTCCTTTCCAAGTTGGAGTTTTCTTGCTTTTCCTTTTCTGGGGGTTTAATATCACTCTGGTGGATTGATTTGATTTTTGATTATTCACATCAGAATTTAAACCATTTCTTGTATGTGTCCTTTCCAGTGCCAAATTTTCAGTGGCAGAGCATGGTAAGCAGTATCAGAATGACCTGTTTGGGTCATTTTCATTCATACCCAAACACCTCGGGAGTTGTCTACAGTAAAGAGAATTTTTTTATTGACATTTATTTTTTTTGTAAAATTTTTTATCACTGTTGTCGTATAAAATAAAAATAATAATTATAATAATGATAAAAATATTAACAAAAGTGTAAAATTATTTGTAAAAGTAATAATTTTTTTACCAAAAAAATTATCATATAAAAATAATAAATTTACGATTTTTGTGGTTAAAAGTGGTAAAAAAAAAAAAAAAAAAATTGCCGTACAGCAGTCTTTTCCTAATTTTTGACTGCAAGGTTGACAGCCTCTTCATTGCTACCATTGAAATTAGCTAATATTGAAAATGGAAAGCCACAGGTCTACAAGCTCTTTATTCCAATATTGAAAATTGCAATTGCTTGTACGATTCAACATTTATTGGTTATCCAGTTCAGGGCATTAAAAAAAAAAGGACCTTTTGATGAATAAAGGCTTTGTTGCACATTTTAACCCATATTAAGATGAAGTATCCCATTACTATTTTTTATTTTAAGATTTGTTCTTTTTGAATAAATAGTGTTATATAGTATAATTCAATTCAATTCAAAAACAATAAATAAAATTGATGCAAGTATGGTACCAAAGTTGATACCGTAATCTTTCCAAAGGAGATGAGTGAAATTTGTGAGAATCATAGGGAGGTTCGTGTCATTCCTCATTATTTTTCTGGACCATTAAAGTGAAAGGGTAAAAGCGTAAAATAAAGATAGTCAACTTCCTCAATTGGCGCCGCCAGGTCCACTAGCTGAGCTGAGTTGGAGGGGGCGTGCTCTAGTAGTGGGTTTTGATTCTGATCCAACCGGGCCCTTTATAATATCTTTATTTGATCCATTAAAGTGGGGCCCACTGTTTGTGTAACGCTCTATTCTTGAAAAAGTAAGTAAATATTGAGCGTAAGTTTACATCATGTTAAATTAGCTAAGAATAATGTTAGGCTGATAGAAAAGAGGACTACAAATAGTTTATATGATATGATATTTATCATAATAAAAAAATTAAATTTTAAATGTGTAAAAGAGAGACTAATAATACTATTACCGTAATATCACATTATTTAATCCTTTTTTTTTGGTTAATTTGACATTACTCACCAACTGATAAATAAGGTGAACCCCATTTTTCTACGGTGTTAATACTGTTTTTTTTTGAAAAATTTGGAGTCAGGTTTCCCAATAGAGACTTATTTAGAGATTAGTTCGGTAAGAAAATTTATTTGGTTTTAAGTCCATTTTTTGTCAAGTTTACAATTGTACCCCTACCTTTGGAAAATAATAATCGACGTCTGACTTGCCGTCTTTTCACATATGTTAGATCATTGAAATATATATAAAAATTCTTGATTGAGTTTTATATATGAAAACCGTTTATTAAATATTATGATAATTAACTGAAGTTTTATATGAAAAGTAATATATTTTGATAGTTATATATGGAAGCTTAATGTACGAATAAATTGTTGGTCTATTAAATTAAAATCAAATCACAAAATTTCTTTAACAATTTAAAATTTTCCTAACATTAGTATTACTATAGTGACACTAATATTACTATAGTGACACGAATGGAATTGTTTTCCTTAAAATACTTAATACCCAAAATGATGAATTCCACCATTTCAAATAATAACAAAAATCCAATCCTAATTTTCACTTACAATACCAATTGCAAATCTTTTGACATATACTATTTAACATAGACATTTAATTTTCACAACAACATTAAAGGTTTGTGCTCAGTAACACATCGACTTTTACAAAATATAAGGTAATAGAATTTTAGCAGTAACATCAATTTTTGAAAGATTATAGTGAAAATACGATCCACAAATTAAATATTTACAAAATTTCTAGTAGTAACACACCGTTGGCAGTTGAATTAGAACACTCAACACCAATAAAAAACATCAAGATATTGAAATTCTAAAATCTATTTTTCAGTTATCTCATCTTATCATGATCTATTTTACAGATATACAGCCAAAGTATTTCGAATGTCTTGCATAACACAAAAAACAACAAAATCGAATTATATAACACTTTAATTTAGTAATAATAAATCTCAATTTTAAGTTTCCAACATTCGTTTCTTTTCGACCAAACGAACCGCCAATAGACTTGCCCACACGGCCACTCCACTCCAATTGCGAATCTTTGCCATATCAACCTGACAGAGCTCGCCTTGGGGACGACGAGTAAGTCTCTCTCGCACTCCGTTTTCAATTCCAGCATTGCAATTTTTTTGTGTAGCTTTTGATCAGAGATGGAGTTGGAGATTAACAGTTGCTTTTTGTGAATTGAATAACCTTAATATCATGGATAAATTTGGGAAATAAATAGACTTTGTGACGGCGAATTGAACATAGACAGGCGATTTATTGTTACTATATGACGAATACTTCAATGATTGATATAATGTATGTACACAGCAAGCAAGTGAAAGTATCTTCGGAACAGGAAAAGGAAAGTTAAAATAATTTTAAAGCCACTTCTATTGTAGGTAATAGCAGAAGAATTTTTTTTTGATAGGTAGCAGATATTTATAGTTTTAGTACTTGACAAGAAAAAAGTAAATTTCTGTTAAAAATATTTTGAATTTTTAGTAATAATGTGAAGAGTAAAGATGATTTTTACCAAATGCATCAATGTGCTATAGGAGGTGTATAAATTTGGTATGTCTGTAGGGACAATATGTGAACCTAAGTCCCTCTACATGCTGAAGGTGTGTGTGGCGCCAAATACATGTAGAAATTAGAATTACTAGATGAACTGATAGACAATCTGGGTATGCAGGGCAAAGATTGATCTGATTCGCAACTCAGTAGCTCTTTATACAAATCTAGCAGAAGTTTCGACAATGGCCAAGGATTTAAGACCCGACACATTGACCGTTTACCTCTACATTCCCAACATCATTGGTGGGTTTCTAAGCATTTTAACTTTCTTAGATTGTGATCTTGGACATATAATTGGGGTTGCTGAAAGAAAAAAAATACTCTACCTTAGATGGAGATTACACTTTGTTGTGAACAATTCATATTATGATTCTTCATGGTTATTTTGTTTCTCTTTTTTGGAAGGTGGTTTTTTTGTTTCTCAGTTTGTAAAAATTTGTATTCCTATGGATTTATTGTATATGACGTATTTGGGGGACCCTTGAGATGCAATGGTTTGTATCTTACTGTTATGCAGCTGAGTTTAGTAGACACTATACGGTCATGTTGATATTCAGAATTAAAAAAGAAAAAAATCATCTGCAATTTCTGTGGCTTGTTATTCTTCCGATGAGTTCATTAAATAATTATGTTTATATGTGTACACGCAATGTAGCTGTTTGCTTGTAATATGTTGGCAATAAGTTGTTGATCTATTTGCTCAGATTTGGATATATTAGAATTCTCTGGGATAATTGATTTTTTCTTCTTGTTGCAGTGGTAAACCTGAGTGTGTTAATTGTTGGATCTTGTTAGTGTGTAGAATTCACAATGCTTAAATGGGTACACAAGAATTTGCTTGGATAATTAGCCTCATCAATAACTATTTTTCCTAAAAGATAATTGGGTAATAAATGTCTGCCTGGCAGTTAGGATGGATAAGAATTCTCGTGTATTGTTCTTTGAAGGATGCTATTATACCTACGCGTTTATTGATTTTTTTCTTTATGCAGGATATATAAGAATTCTGATGAATTGCATTGCCTTTGCCATATACTTTTCTGACAAAAAGCTTTTTTCATGTCTCTATTTTGTTAGGTGAGAATCTATGTTTATAAGTTTTATGGATTTTGATTGTTGTAGAAGTTGAAGTTGTAGTTTTGAATGACTGAATTTGTGATTTCAGCTTTGTCTGTGATGCCTTGGATGGTTGGTTTGCCCGCAAATTCAATCAAGGTATGAATTTGTTTGGTTTCATTGTGAAGAATGATATGTTACTTTGACACCTCATTTGCATATTAGATTCAATTTCTGTTAGTGATGTAATTTATGGTTGCGATAACATGTGGGCTTGAATAAAAGCATGGAATAATGAACTGGATAGATACAAAACAAAGCAGCACAGATCCTGAAATTCTAAATAGATTCTATTTTTAAGTCAAAGCTTTTTGCTTGAATGTCCTCTCTCTCTCTCTCTCTCTCTCTCTCTCTTTATATATATATATATATATATATCTCCAAGTGTGCTAAGAGCAAGTTTGGTAACAATATCCTTCTTTTGGAGAATTTGAAATGTTTCTGAAAATAATTTTGCCTGAATTTGAGTTTATGGGATTCACTAAAGCACTACAAATGACACAATTTGTCTTATGGTGACTAATGTTAAGAAATTCTTTCTTTACCCCTTTCTTTGTTGTCACTCTTTTAAATTCTTTTGTTTGGTGGTACATGTTTATATGACTCAGTACAATGATTTATAATGAAGAGTGTTGGTTAAACATAACAAAAAAAGAATATGCGAGATGTGCTGTGGCATTTGATTCACCTTTTTCCCTTTCTTGGTTCAGTTTCAACCTTTGGAGCTGTTCTGGACATGGTGACAGATAGGTTATCATTTGTAAAACTTCCATTTCCTCTCTAATTTCCCTCCAATATTTTGTAAGCTCCTTTTGTGGTATTTACCCGCATGGATTCTGAATTCTACCTTTATTCTTACTTTGTATCCTGATTTCTATGAGTTATCTCCCAGGATTAGCACTGCTGGTCTACTGGTGATTCTCTCCCAAGTTTATAGGTAGAATTTTCTTAGCTGTGATGGTAATGGTTTCTCAGCAACCTTTTACCTGCATAATACATGTTTCCACCCGATGTTTCCAGGCCTGGCTTCACTTTCTTGTCATTGCTTGCTTTGGATATTGCCAGCCATTGGCTGCAAATGTATAGGTATTGAACTTTGCGATAATACATCTTTCACATCTAATTCCAAAACTGAATAAGGCTTTAATAGAATGCTGGCTGAATCTTCAACTATATTCATTAGATTACATCTGAACTTCCTTTGAATCCTTAATTTTACAACATTAATTTTTGATTTTTATTGCAGTACTTTCTTGGTAGGTAAATCTACACATAAGGATGTAAAAGACAGCACTAATTGGCTGTTCAAGGCATACTATGGAAACCGGATATTTATGGGTTATTGTTGTATAGCCTGTGAGGTGAATGTCTCTTTGGTGTTCTTGCTTTTTAAGAGATTTCATTAATTTAAATTGTGCTACTGACTGGAGTTGGAGTGTTTTGGTTCGGCAGGTTCTTTACCTAACCTTATTTCTTCTTGCTAAGAACCAGACTGAAAGTATGACCAATGTAAGGTTTTAATTTTGTTGAGGTTTTTAGTGTCTATCTGAACGTTGAGAGGATTCATCAATATAATGTTGGTTAATGGATACTTTTCTTTTAGGTTTTAATGGATGCTGCAAAACAAAGTTTAGTTTATTCTACTCTACTAGCTTTACTTCTGTTTGGATGGGCAATCAAGCAAATTGTCAACATTATACAGGTAACAATCAATGCCTTCAAATAATCCCTATGAGGTCCTTTCTACATAATTTTTCTTACTTATCAAGAATCCATAATGGGGTCTTCTGGAACTATTGGGAGAATGCTAACATTTTATTAACCTTGAACATCTTAAAGCTTATTAATTTGAACTTTGAGCTGCGTTTTCTCCATTCTATGCACATTTCATGATCGGCTCATTACTAATATACATGTGTATATGCTTCGGATACTTATTTTAGTTATTTTATCAAAATTATTTATATTGGAATATTTCAACGTCAAGCAGTTTATGTAACTATTTGTAGGTCCCACTTAATTTTAAGGAGGGGTGTGTGTTGCACATGTTAGGACAAGCGTGGTAGGTTTTTTTAAAATAGTATCTCAATAGGCAATCAACCCAACAGCTGGTCAGGTGTTCTGTGTATCTTCCTAACTGGACTGTTTCTTTTGTGGTGTTGTTTTCTCCTCCTATGTAGTTATATTTACCCTTTTAAAATATTACCATGTGCAACATTTAGCAATGGAATGACCGGGCAGGCCAATCCCCTCTACTCAGATATAAGAATGGATGGATACTTTTAGGTTGCCCTTTCCTTTGTATTTGGTAATAGATAGATACGTTCTTCAATTTATTATTTGGGTGGCTGAGTAGTTCTGTATAACTGTTGTGATATGCTCTTATTCGGAATTCGTATTATGCTTTCAGATGAAGACAGCTGCTGATGCATGTGTGCTGTATGACATCAACAAAAAGCGGAAGCAGTAATGTGCTGATTGCAAAGCTCCCTGCTCCAACGTGTTTAAGAGAAATGCTTCATATATTCTAACTTCCTAGTCCCTTTAACTCTCGACTGTTTAAAGATAGAAAAATGTTTGATGAAGCATCGGAGTCTTAAATCATTTATTGAATGATGGCTGTAGTTTGGATACCTACTTCCGCATACAACGGGAACAGTTAGCTCTTCAGGGTCTCCTTGTTATCTTTAGTTGATTGTTCTGTGCATTTTTGAACATTACTTCTATAAACTTCTTTATTAAATTGAATGTTTGGTGTCAGAGCTCGTGAAGGAAGAGTCACTCACCAATAACCCATCACAACACAAGGGAACGGGGACGCAATAGCAACCCATAAGCTTTAGGACATTCCATTGATAACTATAGAAAGAGCAATCCACGGAACCCATTGAAACCAAGCTTGATAGGATAAGAATACTCTAACCTTATGCAATAATATAACTTATAATTTATATAAAATTATTTATTAATAAAAGTTGGAGTCGATGTTTTTTCAAAAAGGCCTTTAGACTCCGACTGGATTATGGATTTTCTTCCTGACTCCAACGGAGACAGAGTTGAACCGGAGTCGGATTTTCAGATTTTTGCACACCCTTACATATAAACTACAGCCTCGAAAGGAAAACTTGATAAGTAATCAAGGATGAAATATCTAATCGAGATACAACGTTTTGGAAAGATGAATTTTTGTTGCTGAAAGGGTAAATTCCTCTCAAAATCTCTTCCTAACACTAGGGGTATCAAATGAAATGCAAAGCTTGAATTAATACAAGCTATACCCGAAAAATTGACTGATGAGAATGGCTAATCCTAGAGTGATTGCTATAAGGGAAGAAGCCCATGTGAGCTTCTCAGTTATCCTAGGGACCCTCTCTTTTAGTGCCTGACTGCAAGAGCCTATAAAGACTGTATAACTCCCCATTGCAACTACAGTCCCAACTAAAAACATACATAGAAATGCAGCGCCGGCCAAGCGAGATGGCAAAGCAAGTGCAGGCAAGACCATCATCAGTGCATCAGGTTGCAGACCATGGACAATCCCTGTGGCAAAAGTAGCAAACCCAATCTTCTTTTTCTTCCCAATCGCTGGGTTCTCAAGGGCTTCATAGACGCCAATGTCGCATTCACCATTTTCAAGGGAAACACATGGGGTAGGGACTTCTGATGCTTCCCTGATGCCCATGCCACCGATAACAAGTAGTGTAAAGCCCACCACTCTAGTGCCCCAGGTTCGGATGACTTCAATATGGAGTCGATCCTTCAGAATTAGAAACAGTAAGCCGAAAATCACCTGTCCAGCATCATGGCCACAGCCCCAGAGAGCTCCAACAGCAGCACTTTCCAACCGGGTGCGGCCAATCGAAAGTGGAGCCAAAGCAGCAAGGTGGTCAGGTCCTGATAGAGTGTGTAAGCAACCGGCAAAGAAACCAGTCCACGCACTACTTAATAATTCAGGGTGGAGTCTACCACCTGCCACAGCTGCAGCTGTACCACCAGTCTTAGCCGCAGTTTGGAAAGAAGCAAACGCCGGTGACACAAATATCATAAAAAGAGCTGAGAGTAGTATCACCGTCCCTGCAGCAACTGCCTGAAACATTTAGAAAAAGGATTTGTCAAAATAAATAAGTTTTCAAACTGGCAGTATCTATACAAATCACCACACCTCCAGATTTTTAAACATTGTCCATACCAAGGAGATTAGAGAGTTATTTTAATTGCATGATAAACATTACTCTGTCTATTTTGCCTCGCTGCCCCAGAGCCGTGATTTCTCCAACCTCACTCTTCCAGCGACATAATATTCATCAGAATTCAACAGTTTTTTTTTTGGGAGGGGTTTCATTCATTCATTTATTTTTAAGCATCTCAGCCTTTTGTTTCCCATGAATTCAGTAAAAGTTCAGCAGTTTCAATTACACAGCAAATTTTTTTTACATAATCGGGGAATAGCCTTCCCATTTTGACTGAAAATGATTGAAGCTCAAGAAAAAGAAAAGGGCCACTTCAACAAGCATCCAGTGTAAATTTTATCAAAAATCTTAATGTACAAAGCTTGGTTACTGATAGTTGAAATGGGAAACAGGGGACAAGGACACCGAAAACACAGTTGGCACAATACAGCGAAAAAAATGACACCAATGTATCTAAAAAACCCTTTTAGTTATGCATAAGAACCTTGGAGACAGCAAAAGGTGCTGTAAAAATCATGAAAGAGAATAAGCACCAACAAGCAAACAATAAGTAGTGCACTTGTTTTTCAACTTCATTCTATATAACCCATCTCCCTAGTTAAAAAGGCCAAAAAAAAAAAAAAAACTCCAAACCATTCTCTTAAAATTGTTCATGCTACCTTGACTAGTGATAAACAGAGGAAAATGAAATAAACTATGCATGCCTTGACTGTTTGGGATCTAAGGATAATCCAAAATTTTCTATTAACTCACTTTCTCATAAACCAAACAAGCATTTCTCCCAAACCCAGACTTTTGAAACCATGAATATGAATGGACACCAAATTACAGCAGAACAAGCCAATAAACAATTATGGATCAAATAATAATACTTCATATTGAAATTTGAAATAGCAATCCTCAAATTACATGAAAAGATTAACGAAAAATAGGCTAAGAGAATTTACGCCCGTGTATGTATCCAAAATCGAGTGGAAATTAATACCTTTTGTTGCCTAGGGAATGCATCGGCGATTTGTTTGAGAAATTGGGGTTTGGGCACAGACCCATCTGGAAAATCCACCGTTGAAGATGCTTTTGCTGTGTAATTATCAGAAAAATTAATTGGAGAATTTGATGAGGAGGAATTAGAATATGGGTCTTCCTGTTTGCAGGATAACGAGTTGACTCGCTGAGACTCGGTGCGCCGTGATGACGGAAGAACGAGTTTTGGGGCGTCAACTCGGCCGAGTCGTGTCAGAAAAGGATAGGGTTTTAGATGGAGTTTTGAAGGGATGGGGTTAGAGTAGATAAGCTTCTCCATCGGCCCTCTCTCTCTCTCTTTGATGTTCTCTGGCCTTGAAAGAGGTTTAGGGATAGAGATCTGGCAGAGAAGGCAGTGAAGATGGGGAAGCTAAGGATAAACTACCACTAACCTCCTACTTAGAAGTTTAACTGTAAATTGAAGTTTTGTTCTTTTTTATATTTGTTTTCTGAATATAAAGAATTGTTTTTGCCTTCCATCGTAGCAGGAATGAGAGTAGTTTAAATATTTTTCATAATTGAATTAAAAAATAAAAAATAGGTAATTCTCGCAAGAATTCTAAATCTAAAGCTATTCTTGACACCAAAAGGAGGAATTAATAAGTTTAAAATTGATGTTAGTTGGTTTGAGTGATAAATAAACATATTCATTAAACTTGTCAAAATAAATGAATCAATAAAATCTATTTTAATTTAATATGAATTTACTAAATATAATTTATACATAATACGAACTCAACATTATAAATAATTATAAATAAATTACATATATGTTAACAAGATATGATTTAAATATAATATAAATTGAAAGTGATAAAATGAAAGTATTAAGAAAAAAAAAAGAGGTTAAGTACTGAGCATTTGAATTCAAAGAAAATGTAAATAAAACTAGAAAAATTTAAATAATTCATTAATCTCTCAATTTTTCAAAAAAGAATTACAAATCCATATGCCTCCATCCAAACATAGCATTTATAAAACTTTCAATTTTTCTCTAGTCAAATAAATTAAATTTTTATCTTTTAGGATCAGTGAATGCATAACATGAAATAAAAATAAATACAGGTCCATTTCACCTCACCCACTGACTAGAAAAGTCAACCGCTCCCCCCCCCAAAAAAAAAAAAACAAAACAAAAAACAAAAAACAAAAGGACAGAGGAAGAAAAAGTCATGACACTCCAATATTGACCCAAATGACTACAAACGGTCGTTGAGACTTGAGAGCATGGCCAGCCATAAAAGAGTAGTCTACTTTGGAATAATGTGGGTGTGACATAGTCGTAGGTGTTTTGTATTTGGACTCGTTTATATGTCCATTATGAGATGTAAGTGCTTGATCTCATCGATTAATGTTTTGGGTATTTTTTGTGTTTCAAGCAATCGAATAATTTTTAAATAATTACACGAAAACCCACTAATCGATAATATAAAATCTTAATTACTAAGTTTGTTGTTGTAGGATTTAATGCTTAATTAATTGCATGAAGTTCCCTCAGAATTTTAACAGGAATATAAGAACTCTAATGTTTTTGTATTGTAACATAAATATTCTTCTTGACAATAAACCACTCCCCATTAGACTGGTTGAGGCCTGAATGGTCAATCCAAGCTTAATCCATAATATAAAATCTTTACCCTTAGCCTAACCCAACCCAAGTTTTAACCTTACAACATTAACTTGAGCCCAATTGGTGATAAATTTTCTAAATTCAAATTGAACTCGGGTTATTTGATTCAAATTGTGTACCAAACTCAACTCAGGTTGAAGTTGGGATTAGAATTTTTTAGCCCAAAATTTAAATTCAAACACTAAAAATGTTAGGTTGAATACGAATTAACCCGCTCAAATTACACCCCTAGATTATAATCGTGAGTTCTAGTTGCCTGCTATTATCATTTTAGCTGGTTGGCATGGCTACGACATGCGAATGCCTTGCCCAAAGGTACCCTATGTCTTAGCCAAGGTGGAGGTATATTTGGTCAGATAACCCCTTTGTACAAAGATGGCTTCTTAAGGACTTGGTTGCGTCCCTGGTTTGGTATCAAATGTGTTAAACAAAAGTTCCAGGCAGTATGTATCAGCTATGTTGCCGACTATTGTAGTTATGACTTTTCGGTTCACAAGATGTCAGTTACTACAACTAGAGTTTTACTCATTAATGCTATTATAGGGGGTGCTCTGCAAAAGGGTGTTAGATTGGCAACCCTTATACCCCCTAGCCTTGGAACACCAAAGCAAGTCATGACCTCAATAATGCATGCAAAAATTCGAGAACTGAGATGTGGGATCGATGATCCATGGAACCTGTCGTTGCTGGAAACTCCATGCATTGATGAGGAAGGTATCACATGCATGGTCATATTGGGCACAAATAAGCAAGTAAGGCTTATCCGGTAGGCTCCAATTGTGGTGTATTGCAAGCTTGGAAGATTAAATCATGGGTTAGGCATGACTTGAGACACAGGCAAGAGAAATCAAGTGTTGTTGGCTCACAAGGAAGGCATGTGCACATCATGTGAGATGGTTATGAGCAGTTGATGACATGTGCACAATATGCAGAACGGTTCTAAGTAATTGTTGACATGTGCACAGCAGGGTGATAACGAGTAGTGGCTGGCTAAGTCAAGCAACTGTTCAGGCATGTTCAACATATTCAGGGTGAGTGGCAGAACCACCCAACCATGTTCAACACACTGTGGGGAGTGACAGAATCTCCCCTAACTCTTGAGGGTGAATCTGATTGACGTCGACAAACTTAGTAGTTTGGGATGTTAACTACTTGACTGAGTTGTCCAAAGCTAGTTGGCGCTAGCATTGCCTAGATGGTTGGGCTTGTAACCATTGTGTATAGCTTTATATATAGATTGCTAGGGTCCGTAGGAAATCAAGAGAATTTGAACACATTTTTGTAAGTAGAATCATAATCAGAAATCCTTTAAACTTATTGAGAAGAAAAAAGTTGGGATATATGGCCTCTAATCTCGTGTGGCTCTATATGTTTGATTCGTGCCTATATTCTGTTCGATATATTATTCTTGTGAATAATTGTGTGAATTTGGTTGAGACTGGGTATTGAACTTTAGTATCGGCACATGACAAAAATTCGAATAAAATTTGATCCATGTCACACCAGTAGATGTAAAAAGAACCAGAAGTCCAAATACATAGAACCCAAAAATGTATGTTTCTTTTGGGTTGAGAAGCCCAGAAGTCACTTCTTGTCTTTACTCATATGGTGGTCTGTTTTGCTTTGATTGGTGTCTGGCGTTCAGAGCCGAAAGGTTAGGTCTCTCTATCGATAAAATGGATAGGGCCCCCTTACGTGTCATGAAGCCATATTTCCATTTATCTATGCCAAACGTGAGGTTCAAATACTCCATGGAAAAAAAAAAAAGAGGCTTTTGAAAACAATTATAATCCAGCTTCCACTTGCTCAATGAAACACCCACATCGGACATACTCTCAGTAGACTGAACTACTGAGCTTTTCTGCTCTAAAGCTTTGTTCAATGGCGAAGCCAGTTTCAATTGAGGTTTGGAACCCAAATGGGAAATACAGAGTGGTCAGCACGAAACCGATGCCCGGAACCCGATGGATTAATCTCTTGATCCAACAAGATTGTCGTGTTGAAGTAAGCCTAACATTATTATATTGTTTTGGTCTTGTTCTTGGCATCAATAATGTAATATTGTTCTGAATTTTTTTCACCATCATGTTCAGATATGCACTCAGAAGAAAACAATCTTATCTGTTGAAGAAATTATTGCTCTGATAGGCGATAAGTGCGACGGAGTCATTGGACAGGTTTGTATATTTGTATATCTTGTAAATATAAATGGGTTTTCTATTTAGATGAGGAGAAGTGGATTGTTAACTTGTGAATTGGATTTGTGGTATATGAATATTTGAAATTTTTGTGGATTGTGTGTGTATTTAGTTAACTGAAGATTGGGGAGAGACACTGTTCTCTGCGCTGAGCAGAGCAGGAGGAAAAGCCTTCAGTAACATGGCTGTGGGATACAACAACGTTGATGTCAATGCTGCCACTAAGTATGGTGTTGCCGTTGGAAACACTCCTGTAAGTCCATTTACCTTAGGCATTATGTTATGTTTGTGTTTGCGTTTCATAGGATATGTATGGAAGTTAATGGATACTTAAGCATGTGCTGGGCAATTTAATCAGTCATTTGGGAACATAACAAGAAGTTCATGTGTGTGTGTGAGCGAGAGAGCGAGCCAAGTGTACTGTGTGTTTACTTAAAGGTATTTAGAGAATTCTATGGTTAAATGGTCAGGGAGTATTAACAGAGACGACGGCAGAGTTAGCAGCCTCACTTTCTTTATCAGCAGCTAGAAGAATCGTTGAAGCAGATGAGTTCATGAGGGCTGGCTTATATGATGGATGGCTTCCTCATCTGTATGACCACCATTAATTCCATTTCATTGTCTTTCTGTTGTTTGTACTAATGTCTTTGAGAATTCAATTCTTTTTGCATGGATTAATTGCATGATCGCGTTATATTCTCTGATAGTTTTGTGGGAAACTTGCTTAAAGGACAGACTGTTGGTGTAATTGGAGCTGGTCGTATTGGTTCTGCTTATGCTAGAATGATGGTAATTTTTACTCTCTCATCATATGTAATCTGGTAATCTCCATTCAATCCCCTGTAATTGGCTGAATTCCAAGGTGCTGAATAAACTTGCGTCAGTTTCGACACATCATACCACATTTGAAGTAGTTGGTGGATGTCCCTTTTAAACCTATCATTCAATTTGCAAAATCATATAGGTGCACATCTTATTGGAGATTAATCACAGCTGCTTTGTGGAATTTTCAATGGAGATAGAGTGCAACAGTCAAAAAAGGGAGTGTAAATAGCATTTCCATTTCGTACTTGCAGAAATAGTGTTCTACAAGTTGGTCAGTTTTTTACCAAAACAAAGTTGTGCTGTTTAAGAACTGCAACCGAAATTTTATAAGTAGGATTTAGTAATAAAATTTGTTGCAGTTATATTATTTTGTCCATTGTTTCAGGATAACCATGGGACTGTTACCATTTGTTTTCATTATCAACCTCTTTTTTGTGCATCAATTCCTATGACAATTAGTTGACTCTTGCGAGTTCAGAAGAATTCCAAGGAGAGAATTTTATTATGATCAAGCAATCTAATTTTCTACTTTCTCCAGGTTGAAGGGTTTAAAATGAATCTGATTTACTTTGACCTATACCAATCAACCCGTCTGGAAAAGTTTGTCACAGGCATGCCTCAGTCAATATGATAAGCTATTCAATTCAATTCCACGACTCCTTGCAAATGATTATGTGTTTTGACATTGCAGCCTATGGTCAGTTTCTAAAAGCCAATGGTGAACCACCTGTGACTTGGAAGAGGGCATCAACCATGGATGAGGTGCTTCGCGAGGCTGATGTGGTTAGACACTTTCTTAAAATCATACATGTGCATTAAACCACTCTTTAAGTTTTCTTTTCTAATCTTGTTGTCTATCAAACACAAGCAAAATTTTCTATTTCCAATGGTATGTCTTTATACTGTTGCCTTTTGTAGATAAGTCTTCATCCTATCCTGGATAAAACAACTTATCATCTTGTCAACAAAGAAAGACTTGCAAAGATGAAGAAGGTAATTTTATGCAGAAATTCTCTTTTCTTGACAGTTTAATTTAAGGAATAGGTATGGTAGCCAATGTCTTGATGTCATGCAATCCAAATATATAGGAAGCAATCCTGGTGAACTGCAGTAGGGGGCCTGTGGTTGATGAGGTAGCACTTGTGCAGCATCTGAAGGAAAATCCCATGTTTCGAGTTGGTCTTGATGTCTTTGAGGTATCCAAACAGCGAGTTTTGTCTCCTTTTCTTGTATTCAGATTCCTGTATGAAAATCCCCCTTAAGTTTGTAAATGATGTTTCATTAGGATGAACCGTTCATGAAACCTGGGCTTGCTGACATGAAGAATGCAATTGTGGTACCTCACATAGCTTCTGCTTCCAAGGTAATACTGCTGAACTTTTTCTAACACACTCGTTTATATTCAAAGACAGATTTTTGGGTATAGACTTTATTGTTTGTTGATTTATCAGGCTGAGATTTGCTACTTATTTTTGTTGAAATTACTTACATTCCTATGTGCTTTATGTAGTGGACTCGGGAAGGAATGGCAACACTGGCTGCTTTGAATGTCCTGGTAAGGAATTGGGGGATAAAACTTGAGGCTATCTGATTTCGATTTCAACTGGGACTCCAATTTTTTGTTTCAGCTACATTAGACCAAGGTTTAAAACTCGAAATAAACTGTCGACCATCTTTAACTATACAGGGAAAAATTAAAGGATACCCGATTTGGGGTGATCCAAACCGTGTAGAGCCATTCATGAACGAGAAATCTCCACCACCTGCAGCATGCCCAAGCATTGTCAATTCAAAAGCCTTAGGTAATTTTTTCTTAAAATTTTTTTGAGCTCTCCAATCTTGGCACGCAATATATTAGAAGATTGTCTTATGCACAAACTTTTTAATCCGTCCCAGGTTTACCTGTTTCAAAGCTGTAAGCACAGACAGCTTGATATGTATGGCCTCTTGGTGCAGATATACGTACTGAAGGTGTATGGGTTGTATCGAGTTTTTCTTTTCTAAGGATATCTCATAATCTGTATATTAGCTTATGAAGAATGTTGATAACATTGTATATTTGCTACATCATCTTTTACACAAACAAACCTATCTACTTAACTTTTCTGATCAGGGTGTGGATATCTGAATGTGCATGCTTGGTTGATACTGGAGATGTTGCCAGGGGGGTCCGCTGAAACGTAAATTTTTATATCAAGCATGATAAATTCGCATATAATGTATGGGTTATGGTTATTACAACTGTGTAACTATGTGTGTCAAATATATGCTGTGTGTTTACTGATTGATATTTCCTTGCCAATTACAGGGAAAAAAAAAATATATATATATATAAAGAAGAATGACAAGGTAAACTGAATCCCACCCCCAAAAAAATGAAATGAAATATATTTTAGAAAGACAATGTTGGTCGCTTTTTCCGAGTACACAGTGTATTTGCTGAAAATTTCACATTCAATGCACCAGTATAGAACTGGTTGACATTAAATGAGATTGTTTTTTTTACTTTTGATGTACAGTATTCGATGAGATTCAGTAAAATGGTTAGGTGAAATAAGGCACTGATTTACATATCTTCCGGGGACATTTTTTTTTTTTTTTGTATTTGTCTATGGTACCAAAAATTAAAATTGGGTATTGTACTGTCATTTATAATTTTTATAGGTATTTTTATAATTTTTCTGGACATTTTTACCACTTTGTAATTATAATTTTTTTTATTATAAAATAGCCCATAAAAGATATAAAAACACTCATTAAAGTTATAAAATTTTGAAGGTAATGTACGATTTTTTTTTCCAGGTATTATAGTCTTTTTCATTTTTTTTGATAAATTATATTAATATCCCTTAAGTTTGATAAAATGACGTGAAAATTGCCTGATATACAACAAATGATGGTGTTGTAACATCTTAATATCCCTTTCATGCAAACATTAATAAAAGATAAGATTTAAATCTCATGTTATTCTTTAATTTTGTTGAATTTATTACATTTATTAAGTGGAAAAAAGATAAAATGACATTTTTATCCTTTCAATACGGGTTTTATCGTTCTCCCATTGCTCCAATGGGAGCTAAGTTTCCCAATTTTTTCTTTTATTTTTTGTTTCAACAATTAAAAATGTCTGAACTAATTTATGCACGTCTCGATTAAGTTTTCCAATTTTTATTTTTTGTCTAATGTTGTTGATGATGCACAAAAATGGTTTTGCACACCACCTGTCAAGTGTAGATAATAAATGCAATGAAATCAACGAAAAAATTAAAGAAGACACAATTTATAGTGGTTCGGTCAATTCGACCTGCGTCCACTCTTCAATGACTTCAGTCGTCGGGTATTTTATTGATTCAAAGGTATGAAGAATAGAAATACAAGCTTTGAGAGAGAGAATGGAGAATCAAAGAAAATAGTAATCTCCGGTAGTCGGTTCGTCTTCTGTAAGTCTCTGATGGAGCATGTGTCCCTTTCTACCAGCTTGAACCTATTTTATAGCCGCTAAGAGATCATTCTTGTGGAGATCATGACATATCCTCAAGGCTTCTTTATCGCAGCTAAGAGATTATCTTTGGTGGAGATCACGACTTATCCTCAACGGAAGGAAGAGGTTGGGGAGCTCTTCATGAAACGTGGTCAAAGATTGGACCGTTTCCTTCGGTGGTGCGGATAAGCTTCCCGTGCTCTCCTCTTGGTGACGTGCTAAGCAAGAAGTCTAACCGGTCTTGGGCTGTCTTGGACTTGGTGGATTTGGACCGTTTCCTTTGGCGGTGCAGATAAGCTTCCCGTGCTCTCCTCTTGATGACGTGCTAAGCAAGAAGTCTAACCGGTCTTGGACTGTCTTGGACTTGGTGGATTAAAAATGAGGTTGGGCTCCTCAACTGGAGTTGGACTTTAACACATAAATTAGACTATTTAGGCTTAACCTATCAGTTGTATTTGTCTTTCTGATCTTGTCCATAAATTAGGGTAAGGAAGTACACAAACACCTATACTTTGATCCAGCTTTTTCACCAATTAATTTGGCAGTCCTTGAGATTCATTTTGTGTCTAACTATACGAATATCTCTATTCTTGGGAGTATAAATTATTTTAAAAAAAAACCTAGAACCAGATCTCTCCGTGTATCGATAATTTTTAACTAATTAATAATCGATCGTTTTGGGTTTGTAGAGATTGGTTCAATTATCAAACAAGAAAAAAAAGTATAAGTTGATATATTTTGAGTTTGTGTCTCTCTAATAGCAAAAAGCCTGCACCAACCGTCGTGTGGGAAGTACTGGGGTCCTCGGGTGATCTATGCAGCATAGTCATTTCATTTCCAAGCATGTCACAGATAGTTGTTATAAATTGATAGAACGGTGAACATATAAAAAAAAAAGGCCGCCTCAGGAAAAGAAAGACATGCAATAGATATTACTAGTTATATGTTACACGTGCATAAACGTCATGAGATATAGAAGTAATATTCTAAATATGAAGGGATCTAAATGATTAAATGACAAGCACAAGGAGATTTAAGTATAATTTATCAATTTAATTTTAGGCAACAAACTGACGACGTTTAATTTGATCTTTGGGGGTGCACATTAATATAAATTTTTATCTTTAAGGGTACAAATTAAAATTTTTGATCTTTGGGGGGTGCAAATTGATATAAATTTTTATATTTGATGGTGTAAATTAAAATTTAAACGATCTTTCGGAATATAATTTGTAATTAACCCTTACATATGATAAACAATATGATTGTGAGAAGTTAGTTGGTTAGATGTCAATCATTACGAAAATTTGATGGTGGATTCCGAGTTGGAACTTTGTAAATGTCATTGTGTGATAAAAAAAAAAAACGAAATAGGAGTGCATGTTATTTAACTTTGGTGATTCTTTTTGACTTTACAGCTTTTAATTATTTTATTGGTCTTTCGGTTCGAAGATGATGTCTAGTATTTTATGGTATTCAGACAATGGGAATTTGGGTGTTAGCAGGTGTAGCTGTAGGTGATGATAGAGGTTTCACGAGAGATTCAATTTTACTACTTCTTGATTTGTTTGCGATAAAAAATATAAGGTGGTGTTGCTCAACAGTTGTGCCATATGTTTTATTAGGAAAGCTGGAGTAAATCTGAAAATAGTGGAATTGATATTTTTGACATGCTTAAATATCTCAATTAGGAGTCTGGGTTCATCTTTTGTGTAAAGCTAGGCAAATCTAATAGCAGTCAGTTTCGTTTGGACCTTTTACTTTGTTGTCTATAAATTCTTGTTCATGTTCTGATAGCAATTGTTCATTTCTTATGAAGATGCAATAGATGGTATTCTTTTTACCCTAGTGGATAACATTTTTCAATGTTCCTTCCGGTTAATATTTCACGAAAGACACGGTCTGGGATCTGGGATACTTGTGTTTGGACAGAGGAAAGGATGAATGGTAGGTGCAGGTGGGGGTGGGTATGTTGTTTTCAAACCCAAAGGTTTTGATGGAAGTGAACCTATGTTTTGTTTTGTTTTTTTGCTTGGCTTTTATTTTCTTTTGTGGGTTTATCATTAAATGCCATATTATTTTCTTTTGTGGGTTTATCATTAAATGTCATATTTGGACTATCTTTGACCATATATGGACTTTGTTTGGTGTTTATGTTGAGTAGCTTATGGTGATGTTATCTGTGCACCTAACGGACATGGAGTTGCTTTGGGGTTTAGTTTACTGGTGTTTGTTCCATTCATATGGGTTTCATGTTGCACACAAAGTTGTGGGTGACATTTTGTTTGTGTTCAGAATTGTGGGCAATGCATGATGAAATTTGAAACTTTTGTTTGTGTACATTTGATTTTTTTTTTTTTCTGTTTACCTATTTGATTGATGGGTCGTTGGAATATTCATTTCAGGCAGCAAACTATTTGAACATTAAGAGCCTGCTAGATCTGACCTGTCAGACAGTTGCTGATATGTTTAAGGGAAAGACTCCAGAGGAGATCCGCAAGACCTTTAACATCGAGAATGACTTCACTCCAGAGGAAGAAGAGGAGGTTCGTCGGGAGAATGCTTGGACATTTGAGTGAATCATGAAACCTTTGCAAAATCCATACCGCAGTACCTTTTAATAGTTTCCATGTGCACTTTACTTATGCTAGTACATATGTGGTGTGTCCTAGCTTTGTGGAAACTGCACTACCTCATTGATACACTGATTGCTGATCTGTTCATTCAATGAATTCGTGCAGAAGCCGATATCAGCGACTTCATGTTTGGATTGATACATTCATTGAGATATACTTCGGAGTTACTTGCATAAAGTGGCTGTGCTCAGCTTTGAAACTCACAAGCTTGAGGTTAATCGAATGGACTGTTCTCACGACTATGGGGACACAAAATTAGTGGATTGTGTGTTCATTTTCATCGGCACCAAAAAAAAGATTAGAATAAACAACACTTTAAGCTTGATATCGTTTTGATTTCTAAACAATTGTGAAAAATGTAAAATAAAAAAATCATACACCAAAACAATGGGGGTTAATAAATATCTATACAATAAAATACAATAAAATTTAAATTTCAAAAGATAAATAAAATGATTTTTGCTTTTCGCGGTTAAAATCGTTTTAAAATTTTATTTTAAAGTTAATATAAGAACTAATATTAACACTCCAAATTTCATAAGAAAAATAGAGGCCTAAGGGTATGTTTGGAACTAATGGGCCTTTGGTCAAATAATATTCTTTGTCTTATAAAGATTTTACCTTCTTGAGGTCAAGGATTCAAGTCTCCTTTTCTCTCCCCCCAAAAAATAGGAAAAAAAAAATGTGTTTGAAGTAATTTCTTAAAAATACTTCTAAAACTTATAATTTCTCATAAGTATATTTTTTTGAAAAAAAGTGGCTGAAATCACCCCACCATCACCACTATCACCATCACCCCCACCACCATCAACACTACCCCCACGACTAGCACCATCACCACCACCACCACCACTGTTGACGTCGCTACCACCACCACACCCACCGTCCCACCACCACCATTACCACTACAATCACAATCGCTGTCGCCACCCCACCACCACCTCAACCGTCGACGTCGTTACCACATCCACTGCCCCAACAATCACTAGCATTATCTCTACCCCACAATCACCATCACCATCCCTACTACCACCACCCTCACCACTACTGTTGTCATCCCACCATCACCCTTACCACCACCACTGTCGCCATCATTATCGTCATTGCCACCACTCATTATTATCATCATCACATTCTTATATTTATTATCGTTACCACTATCATCTCATGACTATCGTCGTCACCCACCATTATCATATTGTTGCCCACCACCACCTCGTCGTCAACAACCACTATCACCCACCCCCATCACACCTACCATCACCCACTTCACTACTCGCCACTACTGCCACCCATTGTCACCCACCCCCAATCACACCCTGCCACCATTGCCATTCACTACCACCCATCATACTGTCGTCTAGAAGCATTCGTCGTCGTCCACCACTGCCGCCACCCATGGTTATCATTACTACCATCACCGTTGCCACCCACGGCTACCATCACCAGCACGGTCATTGCCACCCACTACAACCATCACTGTCTCCTACCACTACCACCTCTTACCCCACTACAATCGATGTTTAAATTCATTTATCTTTTCTCTATATTTGTGATTTAATTTTGAATATGAATACAAATATAATTATTGTTGACCATTTTTTTTATTACTCTGTACCTTTAGACGCAGACAATAACTAATATTTATAATAAAGTACAACACAATTCAAATCTTAAAAAATAAATAAAATAAAATTTTCTTTTGGCGATCTAGATCGTTTTAAATTTTATTTTAAAGTTAATCCAACAGCTAATATTAACTCTCCAAATTTAATAGGAAAAATAGGCCCCTTAAAGGTGTATTTGATATGACTTTTAAAAATACTTTTAGGAATTATTTCTCATAAGTATTTTTTTTTGAAAAAAATAGTGTTTAGAACCGCCCTAACACTACCTCTACCACCCCCACCCCACCCCTACTGCTCCACCACCACCATTATCGCCACCCTACAATACCCACCATCCCACCACCACTTTCATTGCCCCACTATCACCACCGTTGTTGCACCCTACTAGTATCACCACCGCTGTCACACCCTACTAGTATCACCACCGCTGTCGCACCTTACCACCACTGATATTGTTCCACCATCACCTCTACCACCCCTACCGTCCCACCACCACCTCCATGACAATCACAACTACCACCACCATCGTCATCTTATATTTATTATCATTAACACCATCATACCACTACCACCGTCGCCCACCGTTAGCACCCACCACCACCCATCGTCGCGTACCATCGCCACCAATCACTGTCACCTACCTCACCACACTTACCACCACTACCTATTATCATCCACCACTGCAGCCACCCACTGTCATCTACCCCCACCACACTTACCATCGCCGTCATTCTCCCCCACCCATCACATTGTCGTGTAGAAGCACCCATCGTTGCCCACCACCACCATCACCACCTACCACCACTGTCGTCCTCCCACCACTACCACTACCAACCACTATCACCATCGTCCACCCCCTCCCACACTCACCACTCTCACCGTTGTCATCCACGGCTGCCACTACTATCATCGTCACTCAAAATCCATCACCATTGTCACCCACAACTACTACTACCACCACGATCGTCGCCTTATCCACTACAACCATCACCATCTTCCACCATCTCCATTGCCGCCCACCACCACTACCACCGCTCACCTCTATTATAATAGGTGCTTAAATTTTTTTATTTCTCCTCTATATTTGTGATTTAATTTTAGATGTGAATATAAATATGTTGACCAATTTTTTTTTTTATGTATTATTATGCACGCTTTCATAATATCTGCAAGTGTTTCTTTATCCCAAAAGCGTGCTGGTCCACACACGATTGCAAAACGGGCTTGAAGTACCCCAAATGCCCGCTTTACATCTTTTCTTACCGACTCTTATGCTTTAACAAAATATTTTTTCTTCAAACCTCATGGATAGGGAATTGTTTTTACAAATGTCGACCAGTTTGGATAAATACCATCAGCTAGATAATATTTTATTGTATACTCATTACCATTAATTATATAGTTGGCTAGAGGAGCATGATCATTTGCTAATAATGTAAAAACAGGGGAACCTATCTAGAACATTTATGTCATTTAGCGAACCAGCAAGCCCAAAGAATGCATATCATATCCAAAAATCTTGAGAAGTCACAACTTCTAAAATGATTGTTGATTCATGACAATGACCAGTATACATACCTTGCCACGCAGTAGGACATTTTTTCCACTTCGAATGCATGCAATCAATACTCCTTAACATGTCGGGAAAACCACGTTGTTCTCCCGTCTGTAGCAATCAATATTGTTTAATGACCTCAGGTAATGGTCGCCAAACACTACATTAACCGCTTTCACAAATATTCTTAGACTCTGTATGACAGTGTTTTCTCCAATTCTGATGTATTTATCCACAAAATTTGTCGGTGTTCTGTAAGCAAGAATTCTATAAGTAGCTATTATCTTTTAAAGGGATGACAAACTGAGAACTCCAACAACATCTGTTGTTTGGATGAAATATAGATCGTGTTGTTCAACCTTATTTACAATTCGGAGAAAAATAGGACGACTCATTTGAAACCTCATTCGAAAAAAACCTTCATATACACAAGAAGTAGCAAAATAATCACGGTAGAGTCTTTCGTGCCTTTCAACTCTACCACGATTAACTATTCTGTGGCCTGGAACGGAACCACGATGCCTTTTTTATCTGTCCCTAATTAGACCCTTCTGATCTTTTGATTGCAGTATACAACATATCCAAGTAATCATTATTTTCTTCTTCAATATTGAGGATCTCCTCTAAAATATTAGGATATCGATTCATATAGATTGATGAATGAAAATATGAAAGGATAAATAGTCAAGGAGAAATGAGATATTAAATTTATAGAGAGAATGTAATATAGATGGATGAAAACATGAGAAAAATGATCATATTTATAGATGAATTATATTTTTTTGAATTTTTATTTTGGCAGTTAAATTTTTAAATTTGAATTTCAACGGTTGAATTTTGAAATTTGAATTTCGGTAGAAAAAATTTGAAATTTAAAATTTGAAGAAAAAATTTGAAATTTGAAATTTGAAATTTTTAGTATAAAAATATATCCGTTAAATTACGATCATTATGAAAACTATACCAATTAAAATATAATCGTTAAATTTAATTATATTTTTAATAAAAATATTAAAATGACACCCCATTTTGACACCTATTATTGGAGCAAATTTATAATTTAAGAATGTCAAAATACTGTTTAAAATTACAAAATAACATTTGACACCCCAAAAAAATGACAACTCACCTCAGAGTTGCTTTTATGCACTATAAATGCATCTCTTAATGGCAAATTGAATTCTCTCTCCCCCAAAAAATGAAATGAAATGAAATGAAATACTCTCCCCGTTCTTAAATATCTGTCATTTTACATAATTTTTTTTATTCAATAATATCTGTCATTTAATGAAATTAAAATATAATTAATATTTTTTTTTATAAATTTACCCTTAACTTTTTAATGCATGAGATTTGGTGAAGACTAAGTACTTTTCATATTCATTTTCTTCCTAATATGTATTAAATAAGGGTATTTTAATTTTATGAAATTATGTTTTACTCATATTAGAGTTAGTTAATAACTTTCTTAATTCTTGTATAAAAATTTTAAACGACAGATATTTAAGAATAAAACGAATATATTTTAGAAACAAAATGTTGGTCGCCTTGTCTGAATACAGTGTACTTGCTGAAAATTTCACATTCAATGCACCTGTATAGAACTGGTTGACATTACTTTCAAACAAAAAAAAAAAAAAATCTCGTTGACTTTAAATGAGATTGTTTTACTTTTGATGTACAGTATTCGATGAGAGTCATTAAAATGGTTAGGTGAAATAAGGCATTGAGAATCATTTTGTGTCTAATTATATGAATATCTCTATTCTTGGCAGTATAAATGATTTTAAAAAAAAATCTAGAACCAGATATCTCTGTGTATCGTTAATTTTCCACTTATTAATAATCGATCGCTTCTTTATTTCATGATCATTTCTAATATTGTTGCTTCTTTAGGTGTTTTTGGTCTCATTGCAAACTCAACTCGTCGAACTCACATTTTACCAAATCTAAATAAATTTTATGACTTCAATAATGAAAAGAAAGGGTCATAACGAACGTTTTATATAAATAAATATAATTTTTATAGGTTTTGGTCTCGAAGAATTTAGGACGGTCAAGGTGAAAGGTTTCAAAGGTTTTCTTTTTTTCTTTTTTGAAAGGGGGGAAAAAGATTTTTAGATTTTTCATTACTCCATACCATACCAGACCTTACTCGGAGCCACCATCTATATAAAACGGGTCCGTAGTACCACTTGCTCTCATATCTTTATCACTTCTGACGTTTGGGCTCCCCAATCTCTATATCGTTCTCTCGCTCTTTCTCTCTCCTAGGGTTAGGGATTCGTCGCCGCTCTCCTCTCCGAACTCCGTCAAGAAACCATGTCTTCTTCAAAGACTATTGTGTTGAAGAGCTCCGACTCTGAGACCTTCGAGGTTGAGGAAATCGTGGCCTTGGAGTCGCAGACCATTAAGCACATGATTGAGGACGACTGTGCCGACACCGTCATTCCTCTTCCCAACGTAACCAGCAAGATCTTGGCCAAGGTCATTGAGTACTGCAAGAAGCACGTCGAAACCCCCAAATCCGAAGACAAAGCCGCCGATGATGACCTCAAGAACTTCGACGCTGAGTTCGTCAAAGTTGACCAGGGCACTCTTTTTGATCTCATCTTGGTTTGATCTCTAAATCTGAAGACCCATTTATTTCCTCTATTATTATTTTCTTATAACGTTTTATGGTTCGATTTTACCTTTTAATTGTGTATTCCTATGGTTTCTAGGTCTTGTCGTATAGACTTTCCGATGCATCTATTTCATTCTGCATATATGTACCTATTTATGATTTCGGTGTGTACTATATATTTCCATTTGGAGAATTTTATGATTTATTGTTGCGTTTATAAGAATTTATGTGATTAGTGTTTCAAGGGTTGGTCCAAAACAGAGGTATGTATCTGTGATTTTGCATATATTCGAACAAAGATGGTTTCTGATAGGGTTTTTATGGATAGACGACTCTAGTGTGCTTGTGACCATATCTCTATTTTATTATTTGAAATAATTGTATGGGATGTGAGTGTGCCGACTATGATGCGGGAAACATCACAGTTGTTGAGGGAATTTTCTTTGATGTTATCATTGTTTGTCTCTCAGTCTTTGACTCCCTGTATTGGATTGTTTGATTTGTATGTGCTATTCTGTTTCATCATTTGATTCTGATAAAATGCCTATAGATTTGCTTCGTGTTTGATATGTTTACTTTGAGTCTGATTCTTTCAACCCTGGGGGATTGCTAAATTTCTTGATTCTCTGTTTTCTTGTTGTCGTTCTACAGAAACATGTTTAGGGCTTTTTAGATATGTAACCGATAGTGCCGTTGGATTGTCTTTTGGTTTTAGACAGCTGATTTTGTTCTCTATCAATAATTCAGGTGAGAGTGTGAATATGTGGGTGAGGAAGCAATATACAGTAATAATATGAAGTGAGACTTATTTTGGAATGTTTGAAACAGTGGGCACTATTTGGGCGTGAACTCATACACCAGAACGTAAAAGTAGCGTTCCAGTGAATAGATGGATGAGAACAATTACTCTCTTTTTCAAAAAAGTTGAAATTGCAGGGTCAAGAGAGGCTTTTCAGCCAGTTCACATGAGTAACTTAAATTTTTGAACTATGTAACCTCCAAAAAAGGAAAAATGAACTTTTACATTCTTTGTTACTCTTGTGGTTTGTAATGGTTGTTATGTCTTTGTGACTGCCTATGTGCAATTACATATGATAAACAAATATGGTTGTGAGAAGTTAGTTGGTTAGATGTCAATCATGATGAAAATTTGACGGTGGATTCCGGGTTGGAACTTTGTAAATGTCATTGTGTGACCAAAAAAAAAAATAGGAGTGCATGTTATTTAACTTTGGTGATTCTTTTTGACTTTACAGCTTTAATTGTTTTATTGGTCTTTCAGTTCTATGATGATATCTAGATTTTTATGGTATTCAGACAATGGGAATTGGGTGTTAGCAGGCGTAACTGTAGGGTGATGATAGGGGTTTCATGAGAGATTCAATTTTACTATTTCTTGATTTTTTTGTGATAAAAAATATAAGGTGGTGTTACTCAACCGTTGTGCCATATGTTTTATTAGGAAAGCTGGAGTAAATCTGAAAATAGTGGAATTGATATTTTTGACATGCTTAAATATGTCAATTAGGAGTCTGGGTTCATCTTTTGTGTAAAGCTAGGCAAATCTAATAGCAGTCAGTTTCGTTTGGACCTTTTACTTTGTTGCCTATAAATTCTTGTTCATGTTCTGATAGCAATTGTTCATTTCTTATGAAGATGCAATAGATGGTATTCTTTTTACCCTAGTGGATAACATTTTTCAATGTTCCTTCCGGTTAATATTTCACGAAAGACACGGTCTGGGATCTGGACAGTGGAAAGGATGAGAATGGTAGGTGCTGGTGGGGGTGGGTATGTTGTTTTCAAACCCAAAGGTTTTGGTGGAAGTGAACCTTTGTTTTGTTTTGTTGTTTTGCTTGGCTTTTATTTTCTTTTGTGGGTTTATCATTAAATGCCATAAATGGACTATCTTCGACCATATATGGACTTTCTTTGTTGTATGTTGAGTAGCTTATGGTGATGTTATCTGTGCACCTAATGGACGTGGAGTTGCTTTGGGGTTTAGTTTACTGGTGTTTGTTCCATTCATATGGGTTTCATGTTGCACACAAAGTTGTGGGTGACATTTTGTTTGTGTTCAGAATGGTGGGCAATGCATGATGAAATTTGAAATTTTTGTTTGTGTGCATTTGATTTTTTTTTTATTTTTTTTCTGTTTACCTATTTGATTGCTGGGTGGTTGGAATATTCATTTCAGGCAGCAAACTATCTGAACATTAAGAGCCTGCTAGATCTGACCTGTCAGACAGTTGCTGATATGATTAAGGGAAAGACTCCAGAGGAGATCCGCAAGACCTTTAACATCAAGAATGACTTCACTCCAGAGGAAGAAGAGGAGGTTCGTCGGGAGAATGCTTGGGCATTTGAGTGAAATCATGAAACCTTTGCAATATCCATACCGCTGTAGGATTGAGTACCTTTTAATAGTTTCCATGTGCACTTTACTTATGCTAGTAAATATGTGGTGTGTCCTTGCTTTGTGGAAACTGCAGACCTCCACTTTTCTTGTGATTTGCCAAAGATAGAACTCCTTTTGGTGTGATAATCTATGCCTGCAAGGTTTCTTTGAATTTTTTGCTTGTTTATGATTCTTTATTCGATGGCTTCCTCATTGATACACTGTTTGCTGATCTGTTCATTCAATGAATTCGTGGAGAAGCCGATATCAGCGGCTTCATGTTTGGATTGATACATTCATTGAGATATACTTCGGAGTTACTTGCATAAAGTGGCTGTGCTCAGCTTTGAAACTCACAAGCTTGAGGTTAATCGAATGGACTGTTCTCACGACTATGGGGACACAAAATTAGTGGATTGTGTGTTCATTTTCATCGGCACCAAAAAAAAGATTAGAATAAACTACACTTTAAGCTTGATATCGTCTTGATTTCTAATGAATGTATTAAGGGGAGGTTGCAAGTGGTCCACTTTGAAAAATTTGACTCGCAAGGGAAATGTTGGAACCCACATGTGAGAAAATCGAAAAAAGGGCATTCCAATTTCCACAGGTAAAAAAAATGACAGGCTTATTGTACAAAGATGGGAGCAAACTATTCTTAAGATTAAGCTTAATCCTTTCTGGATTCCATTTTAAAGTCCTCATCTAACAAGTGTATCAGAGAGCCCAAGAAGATACCAAGAGGCTGATGTCAATACAAAACATAACTAGCAAACTACTAATTAGTGTGATGAAAAAAACAAAGCACAAAAAGTACTTTAATTTCTACTCACATATACTAAAAAAAAGACCTAATCATAGTACTTGGCAAAAGTTTTTGTTCTAATAACCTAAGTCATTCAGAAGGCCTTGGTAGAGTTCAGCTGATGCATTTGCAGCACAGATCTTTGCAACCAAATTGTTCTTCTCTTCTTCCCATTTTCGACGATTTTCTTCATAGTCTTGTGAAAGATCATGGTAGGCTTTGGATGATTCTGCTGTGGCTCCAAGTTGAACAACAAGACTCTTTCTCTCTTCTTCCCACTTCAGCTGATTGTCTTTGTGTTCATCCATCGCTTCCTCCAATTTTCTTTTCCATTCTGCTTCCTTTCTCGGATATGCTTTCCAACACTCAAACTGAGCATTTATTAGTCCATCTATCTCTCTCCCTGTTTGATCATGTTTGATTTTCAATGTGTCAAAATTCTTTCCCAAACTGTCGTTTTGAAAATCCTCGTTTGTTTCATCGCTTTCTTTCGCTACTTCCTCCACTGAATCACATGGAGCACTCTCCTCCTTACTGTCCTCCTCCTTCTCATCCAGTCCATGAGTATCCTGCAATTTGAAAAAAAAAAAAAAAAATAAACCCGTGGTGAGGTATTGGCAATCACTATTTTAGATGCAAATAAACCTCATTCTCAGATTTTTCCTCTTGTCTATAAACAAATAACTGATTTAAGGACCCATATAACACAATTGCGAATTTATGGGTCAAACTGAGAATGACTGTATACTTTATTCATCTTTAATTTCTAGTAATTTTTAGTACGATATTGAAAGTAACTACTTATAAGCATTGTAATCCATCAAGATATAAAAAACACAAATATTTTCGTGTCACTACACAAAGCCTTGTGGGTATTTTCATGTGGATGTACTGTGTTGTTTGAAATTCTAACCACACAAGATAAACACGTAAAAATTCTAACTACACAAGTTATCAAAAACATGTAAAAGAAGCAAAATAATGGCAGTAGGGTTGAGATTGATGTGCACCCGCCGATTCTCTTTTGATTCGTAGTAAGGAGAATGGCATAAAAAGTGATTTGCTAGGTTTTTGAGAGCAAACCCAACATAGATTAGAGGCAAACAGTCCTTCAAAATCACTTTCTACTGAAGTGTGAGATAAATGATAATCGAGTCGAGTCGTGTTCCTATCATTCACAATTATTATTGCATGCAGGTCAAACTCTAGACCAACTAATCTATCTAATTCTGTTGTATGTCTTGAAAATAACCTACTAGTTTACGTAAGAATAATGAGAAATTCAAGATTAGATCCCCTTTATCTCTCAATCAAATTTATCAACCACAGAATTCCATATGCTAAAACTTCATTTGATTCATAAAAATCATCTATTTCTGTAATGAACCATACATTCTAAACTGTAACAATGAAAAAAAACAGATTTTTTTTCCACAACCTACTAGTTAAATGGATTTGTGGTATCAAACTCGGTTCATACATTTTTAGTAGCAAATGATCTAATTAGAGTTCATGTACAAGAGAGAGTAGGGTTGATATTGATGTGCACCTCCTCATACTCCTCTAAGAAGAGGTCGTGAAAATACATTACGAAGGGAACGAAGTCAACGATCGCAAAAATAAGAGTGAGGATAGCCAATGAGGTCTTTCCGACTTCCAAACGCCAAACAAACATCAACAACAAGGTAGTCGCAACTTGTTCATACCACAATTTCTTAGCATCTTTTTTTTTGGGTGACATTGTTTCTTCCGATTCCGATCCTTCCTCGGGTACAGGTGTAGGCAACTGCAAAATTAGACAAAAAAAGAAGAAAGAAACGATCAAAATTACATCGCAAGTTGTATATAAATAAAAAACCTTAAATGGACATTTGTGTACACGTATGTTTATTATACATATGATTAAGATTAGAAAAAAGAAATTTTAATTATTTCTGCTAACAGCTAAAAATGATATAGCATACTTATGTTTATTACATTATATTTGATACTCAGAAATTTAATAAATACAAAAGGCCAAAAAAAGGGTATACATAGTGTATGCAAATAACAATAAAAATTAATTATAACCCTTTACAGAAACTAAAATTTTGTACAACTATTTAAAATTGATCTTGTTTACTTTTCATGCTTCAAAAAAAATTATTATTGCATAAAAACTTTTTATGGATGTTTTTGAAAATTTCTCTATCTAAACAAAACTCATAGTGCGAATGAGATACAAAACTACATATCATGTATCACTGACCCTAAAATACCATGTGCGCTAAAAAAAATCAAACTGAAAAGTTTTCAGTGCTAATAGGGCAAAACCAACAATATATATCTATATATATATATATATATATAGAGAGAGAGAGAGAGAGAGAGAGTATGCATATTTATGATGTTATAATATGAAAGGTGATCGATCTTATTGGTGTACATGTACCTTATCATGGCGTGCCCATGTCTTCCTTTCCAACCAATGAGTGATAACAATGCAGAGAGTGCAGGCAAGAATGAGAGAGAAGCGCCACCATACCCCAGCTGTCTCGTAACACAAACTAAGACTCAGAATTGTGGTGGCGATTCGTTCCATCAAAAACATGAAATCTTCTTCCTCTTGTCTTAGAACAGCAGCCGATGGTTCTTTCTCATCCGCCATCGCAATATTACTCTAAGAAGATGATGATCAGATTCACCAACCTATAAAATATAAATACAAAACGCTTATATATGTATGTATATATGTGCAGAAATAGAAGGAAAAGATAAATACAATTATAAAGGGATTGGAATTCTAATTCCTTCAAGCTTATGCTTTCGTTTAATGTAGTTTAGTTCAATCACACCAGGATTCATGTTGATATTTTGTCCGTAATTAATTTATGGATAACTTAACTAATCAATTACGGGATTAAAAGTGAATTCTTTTTAATATTAGAATTCACAATTCATCAAATTGTTGTAATGCGTTAAGTCTCTAATCAGAGGCAAATCCAACATGACAATTTCAAAAACTTTTGGGGCCTATTTAAAATTTTGATAAATATAGCATAATTTAGAACTTGTCCCCGTGAAAATTTTTAAATAATTTTAGTTAGGTTTTCAGTTTTAAAAATAATTGGAATTCATTTACAGATGATACAATTAAAATTTTAATATTAATTTCTCATATGACTTTTCTAATTTCTTCTCTTCCCTTTGCAACTAGAGGTGAAATTTGAGTAATGTCGTGGTACATGGGATTTGGCACTTTGAGTTCATGCCTGATTATATTAATCAATCCCAAACCAATCTATGTAATTAACATTGGACCTGTTTTGTCATGTTCCAAATACAACTTGGGACTAAAAAATCCAACACTGGAAGCTTATTTTTCATAATCAAATCTACCACCCATCGCTTGATCTTTAAAATTTCTTCTTTCCATATTGTTTTAATTGATTTATTATATTTAAAATTGTACTCTTATATTATGCAACTACCTGTTATAGGTTATATTTTTAATTAAAGTAGCTCGGTTGATTCAATTTAAACAATTTGTCTGTTATAGATTAAATTATTGTTATATCTAAGTTTATTTTTTAAAAAATGCTATACAATCCAAATATATATCATCCCTTAAATGAGTTTGAAATTTTTTTCTTTACTAAACGTTAAAAAAATAAATTATTCCAAAAAATACAAACCCAACAGTTGACTCTCTTCCCATGCGTTGCACCAAGCCCTCGATCAAATCCCTTGAAACCTACCTGCACTTGAACTCCCTTGCAGCTTCCCATCCCCCCACCACCCCCAATTCAGACTCCTCGAACCCTAAACCATTACACAATCTGTCTGTTCTTGTATTCTTATAATTTCTTAAGCGAATGGATAGAAACACGATTGGAAATTCACGCACAATCTATATAGAGTGAGTTATAGAATTTTGCCTTACTATCATTTGAAGAATTTTCTTCTGCAACAATCTTCGAAAAAAAAAATGAGAACTAAGTGAAACACATGGGATAAGGCATGCATATACTTCATACTAATTAAACCCAAATTAGCACTTATATATTATTGATATTGGCCAAAACGAACCATTAGGTTCTGCGAGTAAGTAATACGTTATCACACATCGACCTCTTAGTTTTCCGATAAAAAAGGTAAAAATAAAAAATGGATAGCTAGCTTTAACTGGCATATGTCTCACATATAAAGGACGTGTTGGAACCACTTTTAAGAAAAAAATAAAGCATTTCACGTCATGTACATAACGAAATATATGTAAAAGGCTAATGTATAAAGACGGGTATACATTATTTTGAGATTAAACTTTAGCTTTTAAGTTCAATTCGAGTCCAACTACATATAAGTCTCGATTTTAACAAGGATATTAGAGCCCAATAAGATCCCAATAAAAAACATAACACTACCAAACTACAAAACTAAAGAAAAACCCAAGCACATAAAATACCTAACTTCTACTTAAACTATAAAGGAATAGTTGTTGGCTCTAATTCAGTTTAAGTCACGATGGCCAATCGTTGAGCTCAAGGAAATAATCAGCACTGTAACCAAAAAAAAAAACCCGACAAGTGGGCATAGAAAATGTTCTAAATATGCTAATAATGATCAAAATCATGCAAAAACCCCCGGTAGAGTTCTGAAGAAGCAACTGCGGCATCCAGCTTTGCCACCAGATCATTTTTCTCTTCCTCCCACTTGCGTCGATTTTCTTCATACTCCCGTGAAAGATCATTGTACATTTTGGATGATTCTGTTGCATCTCCAAGTTGAGCAATAAGATTGTTTCTCTCTTCATCCCACTGTTTTTGATCATTTTCGCGTTCATCCCTCACTTTCTTCAATTTTCTTATCCATTCTCTTGCATTTTCCTCATATTCTTTCTTAAGTGAAAACAATTCTTCCTCAGCTACTTTTTTCGCTCTGGTCCTGCGATCGTATTGGATTTTCAACCACTTGAACTTAAACTCGTTGCGGTAACTTCTGCCATAACTTTCGTTAGGGTTTTCTTGCTGTTCCGATTCTTGAGCAACCTTCTCTTTCTTCAATTTATCACAATTAATCCTATCCAACTCTTCTTCCTCGCGTAGGTTATCATCAATATCAGTTTCCTGCAACTTTGAAAATATAACATTGTGAGATATTGACAATCGCCACATGGGATGCAAATACAAGTTATGTTCGCTTTCATTTCACAAATTTCTCTCTACAGTTTTTTTTTTTGAAACAGTGAGCGAGTACATAAGGGTTGGGTAACATATGAATAAACAATACGGATGTAGACCTTAGTGTTGACCCATGAATTGGGTGATTAAACTGGACATGTAACTCATGAATGGATGCAATGGTTGGCGATTATTTTCTTATGCACGAAATAAAATAGAGCAATGTTACAAAATCAAAATGAAATTCAAAAAGTTGCAACCTACATGCATATCATTCATCGGATAAGCGGGTCCCATCAATTTTTTCAGTGGGACCCACTCATTCAAGGAATGATATGCATTTGAATTGCAATATTTTGGATTTTATTTGGATTATGTAGCATTTTTCAAAAAAATATCATAGAGAGAAAAATATAGATGGTTTGAATATGAACCAACACAACCTTTGAAATAGTTGTAATTGAACCAACATTTACAATGGTGTGTCTATTCATCTGAATGGGTGCTTTGGGTTTATATATACTAGTATCGAATACTTACTCACCCTAACGACACTATGTTGATTTCTCTCGGTGTTTGCAATACTTTAGTTTTCTCTTCCAAGATTGCATGTGTTTCAACCATAAAGATCGATGTCTTGCACTAATAAGGATTTTTTTAAATAAAACTAACGCGTTATCTAACTACTACATATTAAACTAAATTGTTGGTCTATGAAGGAATTGTAAGACAACGGTTGTGTGAGTTTGGTATTGTATGGATCAAGCAAAAAAAATCCTCTCATTCCATAAGGAATCGTAAAAGCAATTAGGAAAAAAAAATAAAAAACCATACTTACAGGCCAAATTGCTGTGTGTATGTGTGTGTGACGCAGAGAAAACAAGGAAAATAATTGGGTAGGGTTTGTATTGATGCTCACCTCCTGATAGGTCTTGTTTGATAGGAGTTTGTAAAAAAGCCAGGCGAAAGGTACAAGAAGGGGGGTCAAAGTGGCAATTGCCAAACAAGTCTTTATGATCCCAAGTGAATGCCACCAGGCATCATCGAGAGAAAGTAGATCACTAATGCAACCCGGTATATATTAGCACCCCACTTTTTCGGTGACGATGTTGCTTTCAGACGTTGTTCAGACGCGGCCGGTGAATCCAACTGAAGGCAGATATGCAAAACAGTAGATAGACAACATTATAATGTGCACCGATATGATCATTATTTTTGTAACTGAGAATACTCCAACCACCTGTTCTTTGAACTTATGACTATTATGCAAATCACAAATATCTATACAGAACAATCCATGATTTTTGTTTATGGAAAGCTTCCCTTATAACATCTGACTTATATACAGGTCAACTAGTAGCTAGTAGCTACCTAGTGAGAGAGGGATGAGTGAAAAGGTCCCGCCACTTTAAGGGACAAGCTTCGCCGCTTGAGAGAACCCTCACTCCTAAGGATTCCTAGTTAGTGGTAAATTCTTTCTTTTCTATTGTAGTGGGAATGAGAGAATTAACTCATAACTCTCTCCCTATGTGAGGGTAAACCGGGGAAACCGCATATGATCCCCGTGGCATGCATGACTGTGATAGCTCAGAAACGTCACTGCCAATGAGTTTGGGTGCATTTTGCTTGCCATCTCCCCGATGGAGTAGATAGCACCTGCAATACTAACTTTACTTCTAGCATTGAAAAGAGGCAGCCTCATGTCAATATGAGCTCGCCCACGAATCGTGATTTCGCTGTTACGATCTCCTCACTTTCTGCGAAACCCGTGACCAATATATCCGATAAATGCCTGGTTGAGATCATACAAGTCACCAAAAAAAAGAAAAATCATTGCTCCCACGTTTTATATAGAGCTCTTTGTTCAGTGGGATCAATTGCAATTGAAAGTTCCCATTCAAATCCATTGTGTGAATGATACAAGACTTCTATTTCATGTTTTCATTATGCAAAGCCAGCGTCACACATGGGTTAAAAAATCAAACTGAAAACTTTTCACTGATATTAGTCAGAACTCCACATTATAATGATAAATAACTACTACAAGCCAGATCCAAGAGAGAAAAATCATGTATTACATATATATATATATACAAAGCTAGTATACTTGTGCACCTTATCAGTGAACATTTGGATTCGTTCCTTCCCGTTCTGGAATTCATCCAAGCCTCGTAGAAAAACGGCCGTTGGTTGTTGCTCCGCCATTGCAATCCCCTATGAAAGATATATGTGTACAACATGTGATTATCAGAGTCTGTATATATATATATAGAAGCGGAAGCAGAAAGGAAAGAGAACTAATAAAAGTTGTAGACGGATTAGAATTCTATTCCTTGAGGCCTAAAGTTTCGTTTGATGAAGTTTAGGTCATTCCTACCCGGACTCATGTTTACCAATAGGTTATCGAGTAAGCCTATTGGTACCTTCAAAAATTGTTTTAATTTGATAACAAAATAACGTGTCATCAATTGATAGAATTTGATAACAAAATAATGTGTCAAGTGATGGAGTTTAAATGAAAAAGTTTAAGAGTTACTTTCACAACAATAGTATTAGAACATGTCATTCTTACATCATTAGGTCCGTAAATTAAATCAATTTTTAAGTGTAAATAGTATTACTCATAGGTTATCAATTTGATCTATTAATTGGAGATAACTAGATATTAGAGCATCTTCAATCCTTACCTTTTTTTCCAAATATAAATTTGGGTAAAAAAACTCATAAAAATATTTTTTAATGCTAAACTCACACTCATACCAAATCAATGGAGACTCATTTTTTTAACCAGAGACTCAAATCTTTACTTTTTTCATCAATTGTTAAATTTCATTATTTTTTAAAAATCTAATGGTTATATTCTATCATTTTTTAAATTTGAATTTATCCTTATTTAAATTTTAGTTTCTCTTTCTTGAAATTTGAGTTTCTTCGTTGGAGATGTCTATACTAAATTAAGTATTTTATCCTTTTTTTACTTAGATTTAGGTAAGGTTTGGATTTTCATTGGAGACACTCTTAAGATAAATTCCGTTGACAGCCCTGTAGTTATAAGTTATTATAAAAGATACCATAGTATAATTTTGTTTGGTTTAGAATTATACTATACTACCTTCTAGTTTGGTTTGTCATTCGCGAGATAATTGTTAGGCACTAGTTATTTACCTAACAAAACGTGTTTACTTCATTGATATGTTGTTTTCCCTTAGGAAAAAAAAAAAGTTTTCCAAAAATAACAAACCCAATAGTTGAGACTTTCTCCCCTTGAACCCCCTTGAGGCAGCCATCACCCCAACCTCAAATGCCACACCCGTTGCCCCTCCCCCAATGCCACTCAAACATCGAAATTCCTGATCAAACCCCCCATTATGACTGCACGAACCCTTGACCACTAGACCTTCTTCTCGTTCCTGTTTTCGTTCTTGTTCTCGTATTCTTATTTCTTAAGGGAGTTGACGAGAAGCAAGCATAGGAAGTTTACGGACAATCTATATAGAGTGAGTTACAAGTATGACCAAAAGAATTTTGCCTTGCTATGATGGAAAGATTTTTTCATTTAGATTTTTAAACAATCTTTGAAGAAAGACGACGACTAGTCATAATTAAACCCTAATAAGCACTTATATTATTGATATTGGCCAAAACCACCATTAGCGTTGATTCATAAACATTGTTTCCAAGGTAAATATACCTAATTCGTGACATCTTCTATTTTTCTAATACAACTTTAACATTGGGCTTAAGCCGAAAAAGTTCTTGGCCCCTCTCTGATTAAATGATTAGTCACCACTTTATAATGTTCAATGATTAAAGGTCAAACTTATCTTTGAATTTCTTTCACTTTAATCTCGAAATCGATTTTTTAATTTTACATTTGAAGTGTTTGGAAGGGAACATCTTAGTTGGATGATTCTCTCTTCTGCTGGAAATCGATTATCTTTCCTGGAATAACATATTAACATGCACATCATCACATCGAAGCCATTGGTCATTTACATACTCAAAAGTTGTGAAATGAGCTGCAATGGCTTCTTTTTGAGCTTATCTGCTTCTAGGACAAAAAGGTAGACGCTGAATATAGGGCTGTTCAAAATTTTGCGTCACCCGATACGTTTCGCATCCTTCTAATTGATCTTATCCGAATATTGGAGTTCCGCAAAATTTTGGCTGGCCAATAAAATAAATTTTAATATTTCGTAAAATCATGGATAAAAATGGAGAATACCCATAAAATTTTTTTATTCTTACTTGGCCCGCACATATATTTAAAGTTTTTAAAAAATAATATATTTGGTGTCGTTTTATATGCTCATATTATTGGATTTATTGTTTTTCTTTAGTGTTATTTATTTATTGTGTTTTCTTTTAGTGTTATTTTTTTATTGTGTTAGTTTTATATATTCTTATATTATATTTTAATTGCCTAATTGTAAAAGTAGCCCAAAAATTTAAAATTTGAGTTGTTATAATGATCCAAATATTAATAACTTAAAATTTTAAAATATGTGAGATATTCTATATTCTTACCCGATTTTTGAACTGATTTTTGGGACAGAATTCGACTCTAAAAATTACTCTTGATCGGATGGAATCGGCTAAAAAATTAACTTTTCACAATTTATTAGCTCCAAAAATAAAATATACTATTTCCTACTCATTGAGTAAAGAGTGAACAGCCTTATCTGTGGATCGGATAGATAGGTTGGGCGGGGCGGGGCGAGTTTGGATGAAAGTGAGTAAAATATAATTAAAAATAAAATAATTCATTAATCGATAAATGTCCTCTTTAGTCTTTATAAATGTTTAAGAGGGACAACAGTGGGCCCATCAATGTCCTCTTTATAAATGCTGCCTTGATTAAATTACAGCAACCAAGGCGCCATGTGATCCGTGATTAGTCCAGTAGATGATGGGCTTGGAGGAGGGGTCCACAATATAATGATGTTATAGAGACAAGCTTATTGCAGCCTCAATAGGGAAAGAAAGTTAAAAAAAGTTGGTGCTGAATAACCAAAGCAATCACAAGCACTTAGGCCAAAATCATGGAAGAACCACAACTTTATTATTGTGTTTGTTTTCTCTTTCAAATTAAATGTTATTAGTATCGGACCCGGGCGATGCATCTGAGTTATAATTTCTTTTAATGTGTATAGAGTGCATGGTTCTCTATATTCTTAAACTCATTGTATCATCTATTTTTTCTATTAAAAAAAATCTTAAAAGGATAAAGATAATATAAATCTAATAGAAGACAGATTAAAAGAGACCACTTGACGATAATTCTACCTAATAAAGAGTGTGGTACCACTGAAAAGCAGAGCACACTACTCTAGTAATTAAATACCAAGAATGTTGGTTCTGTCATGGCCATTCAATTGACGATGTTCTATCCAAGTCAAGCAAAACTTGACTGATTATTATATAGTCTTTCTTTCTTCCCTTTTAATGAAGAATTTAATCATGGTTATAGCACGAAAAAAGCACAAAAGCAATTATCATAATTTTAATTTAACAAAGGAACTACATACGAGGTGTAGCTCGATCACACATCAATTATAGGGAGAGTAAGTGCCCTTGTCTTAGAGCGAACGCCTGCCAGGTGTTTAATGGGTGGGAAAAATTATGAAAAAACAAGATTAGGGGTTTGTCAAGATTTTTCAATGTACCCAAAAATTGAAAAATTCATAGTGGTGGTGCACATCCATTTTCCAATGTTTGTTTAGTGTTTTAGAGATTCTTTTTTTTTCGGATGACGGCACAAATTTTTGTCACTCAGACTCATGAATCTGAGTAGAACCGATGACAAACCCCAGATATATGAACCGTCTCTCAACCAATAAACCAATTAAATTAAGATTTGGGTCTTCAGTGGGATTTGAATTTATATTAGAGACTTGGATACGGTATTTCGAAATAACTGAAATCTGTTTTACCAACCAACCAATCACATTTTTGTTGCACAAAAAACTTAGACAAAATAAAGGTACCGTTAATCCAAAAACTCGTTAAAATATAGAGATATTTTAACGACTCATAAGTGCACTTAAAAGGACCCAAAACATAGCAAAATTAAGCTGGCAAAGTGGCAATAGACAAGTAAGCATTTCCACTGACAAAATCAGCCATTATAATTCTAACAAAAGAATATTTGTGGGGGAACAAAAGGTGACCGAGAACTATAGATTTAGTTTAACTAATTTATTGAAATCGAAATCTTATTAAATTAAAAGTTAAAAATATGATAACAAAAAATTATTTTTGCAGTACCTTAACACAAAGTATCTCAAAATGCCAACCCATCAAATTCCACCATGTCCCGTGACCCCAACAACAAGGAGCGTCCTAGTAAATGAAGGGGTACCCTTACAATGAATAGAAATAGAAGAGAGTTTAGAGATGATCTAGTGATGAAGGTTATTTTCTTACGAATAAGAAGATGCCTTATTTTTTATATTCTCACCTCTTAATAGCCAACTACTCTTATTTTTCAAGGTCATGTCCATAAATTAATTCAAATTATGATGATAAACCGGACAAACTATGACTCAGAAAAAAACAGAAGAGGCAAAACTGTAAAATCATTAGGGAAAAGACCGTTGCAGAGAGTGGTAGGTTTTGGTTGGATGCCAGGGAGACTTCTTACCCCCACCAACAGTTTGATTTAGCCATCACATGGTCTAGTTGTCTTTCCTGGCCCCATTCTTTTTCTCTCTCTCTCTCCACGACATTTTTATAAGATTTTTCATATCTTTTTAAATTCCTTGGAAAGCCCTTTGCTTATCCGCAAATGCCCCAATTCCCAACCCATACACTCATAAAATAGCTTCTCACCACCACCGTTACCAAGCTCAACAGAGAACAAGAGAGAGATAGAGAGACAGCTATAGCATAGAGCTACCTATCTAAGAGAGAAAAAGTGAGACTTTTAGACCAGAAACACAGAGAGACTGAAGAAGATGTCGAAGGAAGTGATTGAAGAGGGACAAACCCACCACCACGGCAAAGACTACGTGGACCCACCACCAGCACCACTCATCGACTTGGCCGAGATCAAGCTATGGTCTTTCTACAGAGCACTCATAGCCGAGTTCATCGCCACCCTCCTCTTCCTCTACGTCACCGTCGCCACTGTCATCGGCACAAGAAGCAGACCGGCCCGTGCGACGGTGTGGGCCTCTTGGGTATCGCTTGGGCCTTCGGCGGCATGATCTTCATCCTCGTCTACTGCACCGCCGGCATCTCAGGTAACAAGACCACTACTTTACCCTCTCTTAACAATTCTAGGCACTATCCATGAATCCTCACAAAATGGACACAAAATTAACGAGTTTGGAATACTTGGGTGAAACTGTTAGACCTATCAACAATATGAATTATCGTTTATCACGAACCCAATTACACGCGACAATTACTAACCCAAGACAACGTTGTTTAAACACGATTATGCGTCATGGGTTGAGCAAATTTAAACATAACACGACTTACATACAACTCAAATCCGAGATCATCCCGGTCATTTACAGCCCTTATCGTCAACTTCATTGGAAAAAAAAACCCTTCAAATCCTTCTCTATTTGTGTATTTTTTCCTTATGAGTGTGGTGGAAAAACAATTTATAGGTGGTCATATTAACCCGGCGGTGACGTTTGGGCTGTTCTTGGCGAGGAAGGTGTCTCTGATCAGAGCAGTGGCTTACATGGTAGCACAGTGTTTGGGTGCTATTTGTGGTGTTGGATTAGTGAAGGCTTTCATGAAGCACGACTACAACTCACTAGGTGGCGGTACTAACTCTGTGGCTCATGGGTACAACGTGGGCACAGCTCTTGGTGCTGAGATTATTGGAACTTTTGTGCTGGTTTACACTGTCTTCTCAGCTACTGACCCTAAGAGGAGTGCACGTGACTCTCACGTGCCTGTAAGTAGCTGATCTTGTATACAATTTTTTGTGCTAGGGTTTGTGTTTTTGATATGATGTGAATTGGTGGGTGGGTTCATGTAGGTTTTGGCTCCTCTTCCTATTGGGTTTGCTGTGTTCATGGTTCATTTGGCCACCATCCCCATCACGGGGACTGGTATCAACCCAGCTAGGAGCTTTGGTGCTGCTGTTATCTACAACAACGGCAAAATCTGGGATGATCATGTAAGTCTTTCTCTCGGCTTACACGCTTGTGGATGTAGCTGTGGTACTAAAAAGTGTTTTTCTGTACCATAAATTGATTCTGTATCGAATTATTTGTGATTATTTTTCTTAAAATTAAGAAAAAAACAATAACAAAAAATAATTTTGTGGTATCATAATTTGATCCCTTTATATATATATATATATATATATATAATTTTTTTTTCACCCCCGAAGACTTATAAATTGCAAATCAACCCCAAAATTAAGTTCCATACTAGTTGAATCCTTCATAGTAACTTTCTGGGTATTGTGGTGGACAGTGGATCTTCTGGGTTGGACCATTTGTGGGAGCATTGGCCGCAGCTGTATATCACCAGTACATTTTGAGGGCTGCAGCTATTAAAGCTTTGGGATCATTCCGCAGCAACCCCACCAACTAAGCAACACCACCAACAGAACCCCCCCCAACTACAAAAAAAATTGCATTGTCTGTCCAATTCTCTGATTTGTTTGTTTGCTTCTTCTGTGTGTATGAGATGAATATTTATGAGCCCTTCTTTCTCTTTTATGTTTTTTTTTCCACTTTTATTTCTTCTTGTAATTTAGTGTTCTGTTACTAGAGTTGGTTGTGTATTTATTTGGTAATTAGTATATGAGTAGTGCTGGTGGTGTTGTTTCTTTCAATGTGTGAGCAATGACTCTCTCTCTCTCCCTTCATTTGAACGGCTAGGATTGATCTTTGATGGGTGTGTTCAAAAAAAATTGCCGAGCTTTGACCATACTCCTTTCTTGATGGATACGAGCTCTTCAACGGTTTTCTGTAAAGCAACCAAAGATTCTCTTCTATGTTGCGACTTGTGAGTGTCAGTGGGGGTGGGGAGGAGGGGTCTAACTTTTTCCCCACCCTTCTGGTCTCTGGAAAGGGCTGTAGAATTTGCTGGCATGACAATAACCTTTTTCTCTTTTGGACTTGAAGACAGTCAATAGGACTAACTGAAAAGGGGAGTGCTGAAAAGAAATTAGAAAAAGTGGATGGTAATTTGATGATATGCCTCTCTGGAATTACGAGTTCTCTGGAATCATGGCTTGCCATGTGGATAATTCTTGTACCAAAAATTGTTTCCATTCGAATCAATCGTAATATTTTGACACGAAAACATGAATAGGACAATACTATGTCGAGGGGCATGAACTCTATTTCCCCAGAACTTAGCACCCTTCATCAAACAATACACCATAAAAAGAATGTTCAAATCGATTAGTTTTCCAAATATAAGTTATCAAAAAATTAGTCTCAAGATTTTAAGTTCACTTAATAAGATCCTAAAGAAAGATTTGAGTCTCAATCTCAAACTCAAACTCTCAAAGCCCAACGCACATGACACAATCATGTTTTGTTTTAGCAAAAGCAAACCAATCTCCCACACATCAATTGACTAAGTCCCAAACATCACGCAAATTCATGGCTCATATAAGTCAAAAATCTGATAAAATATGATTAAATTTAAATTAATAAATTAACTCCACGGCTTCCCTGAACGCTGTACTCATGGCGCCACCAGATCCTCTACTTGGCCGCTCACGGCTACCGAGCATGGCTCGGACCTCCGCGGCTACGGCGACACCAAGGGTGCACCCATTAACGATCACACCAAGTTCACCACTCTCCACATTGTGGGTGACATCGGGGACTCCTTGATGCTATTGCACCAAACGAAGACAAGGTGTTTGTTGGGGGTCATGACTGGGTGCATTCATTGCTTGGTACTTGTGCTTGTATAGACCTGATAAAATCAAGGCACTGGTGAAGTTGAGTGTTCCTTTTTTGCCGAGGAATCCTTCGATGAACAATGTGATAAGCTTCGTGCTCTCTACGGAGATGATCTCTACATCTGCCGATTCAGGTTCTCTATTCATCACATATATGCATACGTTTTTTACTTTGATTCCGTTCTAGCATGAATCCATCTTTATTTGATCTTGAATTTTGTATTTGAAATTGAACTCCCCAATTCATGTTAGACACTTTTGAAGAGGAAAATT